ACCAAAGGGTATAATGTAAATTGTCCAGATTTCAGATGTCAGCCTTGCATCTTGGACTTGTCCTCTGACTATAGCCAGTTTAAGATAGGATGTTGAACATATGTTTGCGCGTTTCAAATTATTTATATATGCATGATTACATATAGTTATATATAATTATATACCCAGAGGATCCATGGTGCTGGAATATTTACCTACATTGACCCCAAGTATGTAATTTAAAATAATCCCAATGTAGGTAAATATTCCAGCACCATGGATCCTTAGGGATATATATATATATATCGGAGGTTCAGTTCATGTCAACCAAGGATACTGTTCATTGGCTGTTTTCGACCCTTTGGAATCCCTTTGGAATCCCAACCCCTTATTTTTTCTGGGGATCAGTATCCGACAAGGTTCCCCGGTTCCCCCAAGAATTCCGATCAGACCCCAAGATACCCCAAGCACCAATGAAACATGGGGCCATGGGGTGACATTCTTGGCATTCCACTTTGAAGAATCTTTGAAGCGGAGTGCATTCCATATCACTCACTGAATCACTCCATCTAAATCTATCGGGACAATCACGAAATTGGCATTTCAATCCCTGTTGATCCCTTTCATGGCCATAAACGTCATGAACTATGAGATTGGCCCATAGCCTACGATGAACACGGTGGCAAATACTGCCAACTCCGCCCCTTGGATGCACAAGAAGAACAAGCCGAAACAAAGACCAAGTCTCGCCGGGAAATCAAGAAACAATTCGCCCCGTGAACATCATGCGGCAATGATCATTTTACATGCAGCAATGGGTATTTCCAAATATAGGTGTATATACTGTGTATATATATATATGTATTATACATATATATGTATATGTATGTATGTATGCACATGGATCATGATGTTTATATACGTTAAGCACCCTCCGCTTGAAGACAGCCTGTTTGTTTTTTTTTGCCAGCTTGTGGGATGTTTTTGGTAGGTCAAGATATGTCAAGATAGGTTTGATCATTTGATCATTCCTTCATTCCACTCCCAGTGCTCACTAGCAGTCACCTTTTGTGGCCATCAATCACAAAGGCTCCCCTATGTGCAGGACAAGCTAGAACAGGCCGCGCCCTGAAGATGCGCAGGTTAGCTTTTAATGGTGAAGAATGATGATGATGATGATGATGATGTATACTATATATTATTATTGTTATTACTATTATTATCATTGTTATTGTTATCATTATCATCAGTATTATTGTCCTTATCTTTGCAGATGCCTCTTGAGATCTCATTGGCCCAACCGAAAGCAGACAGAGCTTCTGGGGCCCTAGCTTTCGCTTTCAGATGTGCAATTCTTTTCCACCACCGAAGCCTTGTCTTAGTATTGTATTGGTTCAACCTTAAGGTTTCTCCCAGCCATTATAGCTGGTTGGTGGTTTCAAACATGTTTTTTTCTATTTCATATATGGGATGTCATCCTTCCCATTGACGAACTCATATTTTGCAAGATGGTTATTGCACCACCAACCCATTATAGTCATTATAGGCAAATGACCGGCATGAGCTGATCTTAAAAACGCACACCCGAGCAACCCGAGCAAAAGCTGGGGCACCCATAGGTCTTGAAGTCTGACTTGACCCCATATCCATATCGTGGTTTTGGTCAAAACATTGTTCCATCAAGTTCTCAGATAGTCTCGGAGCTTGGTCAAAAGATTGTCTTGTCATATCTTGTCTTTGGATAATGATTAGCAAATTCAACCATTGAACAAAGTAACAGATGTCCACCACCATCGACCAGTAGGTCTGACTGGTCTGACCCTTGAAATTGCAAAAGTCGCCCGCGGTCTGGCAAAGTCGCCTGTTTACGCAAAAGAGTTATTTAAAGTTCCCCAACAGGCAGAAATTTCATACATTGGAGAAGTCGTGGGTAGGTATAAGTTATAGACATAATTCTACATAGATATAGACTATTTGGATCTATTTGGACTATATAGATCTATGATGATCTATGTGGATATTTCCTGCAGAATCCCAGCGTATTGGTCGACTCCCATATTTCGCCATGAAACAAATGGCCCGGCACAGGCGGGCTTCCTCTATCTCTCCCAAAGCACCTCCGGTCGACAGTCTTGACACAGATGACCAGGCCTAGGGGATGAAGACATCTGGATGAAGCGCAAGAAAAATCCATTGGGATTTACCCTCTGGTAAACTAACATAGCAATGGAAAATCACCATTTTTAATGGGAACACTCACTATAAATGGCTATTTTCCATAGCTATGTTAAATTACCAGAGGGTACAGTGTTCAAGACATTTATGGTGTTCAAGACATTTCAAAACCCTGTTGGTTGATGATTATATGGATATTATGGGGCTATATTCAATACCCTCTGGTTGTGTCAAAATAGCTGTTGAAAATAGCCATAGAAATGGTTGATGAATCCCCAGTAAAAATAGTGATTTTCTTAATAGTTATGTGGCAGTTTACCAGAGGGTACGTCCACCAACTTGTGACTTCAATGTGTTCAAAAATGGGGCATGAACAACCAATCAGAGTGGTTGTTAGTTTCAACAATTGCTCATATGAATTCTATGATCTTATAGATTGTAGTGATTTATTATGTCTTTTTTTCCTGAGATGGCAGAATCGTCATGAGTTGTTTATTGAATTGACAAACATGTAAGTTGAAACCCTTGAAATGAGACGGAATGGTAGTTGCCACATGGTGGCACAAATGGCATCCAACAATTATGGCAACGGACACAATCGAAAAATCGTGTTATTTATTAGGTGATGTTCTATATTTTCCATTGCAACCACCAGGGGGGCACCAGATTTCGGCATGAGGCAAGACCTGGCTGAGATTCACTGCCATGTTTTGCCATGAACATGTGAAAGTCCAACATTCCAAAAGGGGCTGGAGTGCGGTTTCATGGGGTTGGTTTGATTTCACCTATCCAACGGTTTATCATGGGTGTATGTGTCGGATTTAATTTTCACCTGTATATACTATAATTACACATTTACATAGCAACCTCTGCCTGTTATAAACCTCTAGCCGCTGGAAGTCCGGGCAAACATACAGTTATGTATATAGAAGAATTATCCTCGTACCCCCATGATGTGTACATATATAATATAATACATATATACATATGCATATATATATATATACATACACACACATATATATATACATATATATTTATTTATATACATACACATTTGTGTGCATATATATATATGCATGCATGTATTATATGTATATATATATGTATATATATATATATTTGTTCACCACAGGCCGTAGCTAGCCCTGTTCGCAATTTCGGCCCCATTTTGTAAGTGAAGCCAAAACTCCGCGACAGGTGCTCGCGGGCAAACAAAAAGCCATGATCGGTTTCGCCTGCGTCACTTTCTGGATTTCGTTTTAAGGTTACCCATGGTTACCCCAAAAGATTGCGATCCAAAGATTGCAAAACGTACCGGGAAAAAAGGACGATAAACCATGATTGCAGTTTTTACGCGTTTGGATAGGAATAAGATGAGGTTGTAAGGCATACTGTAGATGGAACTTGGGTGGTGCATTGTAGTATGGGTGGTATGTCGACTGCAATGTCCATGTGTTTATGTTTGCCATCCAAAAATTGCCCATTCATGGAGCGCATCATCTGGATTTGCACATGCTGGATCACTGGATCATATATATATATATATACACATTATAATACATCTGTCCCAGAATTGATTGAAGGTAAATTCTTCTGGACACCGATATGTTTTGAGCAATTTTACTATAGCTTGCTGTGCTATAAGTCTTCCCTTGGACCAATCCATTGATGCAAGGTAAATCCAGAAAACAATAGCACACCCAAACTTGAATGGTCTAAGGGGCGTGTCATCACTTTCATCCGCGTTTGCCATGTGCGGCACCATATTCTTGCTCCTTGATACACTTGTTTTTGCAGCGACCCCATCAGACAACCAGATAAGGAGCAGTGTCATGCTATCCCCCGGCCTTTGCTGTCCGGTTTGTCCCTGTAATATGTAATATGGACATGTATCCGTACATATGTATAATTGTATAAAGATAATTGTAGATATGTATGTTCCAGTCTCGCAACTTGGGAAATATGCCATTACATGATTCCCATTGTTGAACGGACAATCATACCCCATATTATGTTTTGAATGTGACACATAAGTCTATACATAGCCCACCTATCAGTGTACAACTTGAAATCGAGCTATCAGCGCTACCAGGGCTCTCAGTAGCTTTGACACATCTGCACAGACTGCACAGTTCTACATTATTATGATAGATAGATAGATAGATAGATAGATAGATAGATAGATTGATTGATAGATTGATAGATTGATAGATTGATAGATTAGATAGATTAGATAGATAGATAGATAGATAGATAAGATTAGATAGATAGATAGATAGGTAGATAGGTAGATAGGTAGATAGGTAGATAGGTAGATAGGTAGATAGATAGATAGATAGATAGATAGATAAATTGACAAATAGACAGACAGACAGACAGACAGACAGACAGACAGATAGATTGATATTGATATTGATACTGATATTGATAAATTTTGATTATCCTCACGGAAGTAAAAAATCTTCAACCAAAAAAAGGGGCGAGAGAGGACACGACATGAACATGATACCTATGGCATGATGAAACGGTGAACCAGTTCCTGGGATTTCTGTATGCATCCACTTTAGATTTGTAAATATTTCGCTGCGGGTAAAACAACGCCATCTGCACCATCCCCCAGTCATCACCATAAATATAGGTGGTAATTATAAACCATTCCCATAAATATAGCTGGTGCAGATGGCATTGCTTTTAACCACATAAAAAAATGGCTTCATCATGCTTCAGCACTGGACAAGAGCAAGCTTTGTTACACGGAGACGGCCGGAGACGGCTCCATCTCCACCATGGATGCTTCCTTCATTGCCACCGTGGGCAGTGTCTATGTGGCCAGCGTGTGGTCCATGGGAAGTCCCGATTTGAGAAGTGCATTGAAGAGCAGGTCGGATCTGGAAAGGTCGGGAAGAAAGTGGGGCCACGCCTTGGTAACATGAGTTTCCCAAGCAAAACGACTTAAAGTGTGGACGAAAATGTGGGATAATGACTATAGATGGCTTTTCCCGACATTTTTAGTGAGTGATTACAATGTGAGTTGCGCGTTGCCTGGATGATTCGTTGATGGCTTGGAAAGACTGGCAGTGTGTCATGGCTAAAAAAAATAAAACGATGGTATGACAATACCCACAAATCGTGCATATGTTTTGATGGTTTTTGATGTTTATATTTATATTTATTATATGTTAAAATATGATTGTAATATATATATATATATAGATACAAATATGTTTACATTTCAGTAACTAGCTATATATACACATACATACATATATATATAATTATTTATTATATACATATTGTGGTGTTTATATTTTTGTTTTACAAGTATGGATAATTATATATATATTATGTTATGTATGTTTGTATGTATTATCTTTATTTTTTGGTCAACTGCACTTGGGCGCGCCTCGAAATTGGGTCAGGTGGAGCCTGGTCATAGATGGCAGCAAATCGCGCTTTCGCATGCACGAATCTCGAATCTTGGGCTGATTCAGGTGCTTCATTCACTGGGTTTAGGGGAAAATCAGAACCGGAAACCATGTTTTTCCATGTTTTTCCCATGAAACATGGTGATTTCGAATCTCGAATCTTGGGCATAATGGGATTTACAATGGTATTTTCTCTGGGATTCACTGATTGATCAAATAAACGCAGACCCGGACAATTGCCAATTGTTCGTGGGAACTCATGTTTCGCCCCCTAGTTGTCTATGATAATTTTGGAGAGGGCATATGGGCTACTAGATTTGTTTTGGGGCCATTTTCTCTCGACATGAAGCGTGGTTTTTGTTTCACAAGCTGGATGACACCCCGTCAGCTTGGATGCCGAAGGTTAGATTCATATTTCCAATGAAGCTGATCTTGATACGGCTGTGAACATGGTGTTGTTTATGTTAATTATGACTAATTATTGTTATTGGCATATTTTGCGTGCATTACTACGTACACTTACTGACATTTTTACTGATATTGCTACTGCTACTGCTACTGCTACTACCACTACCAACACTACCACCACTACCACCACTAGCACCACTACTACCACACTACCACTACTACCACTACTACCAATACTACAACTACTACCACTACTACCACTACTACCACCACTACTACCACTACTACCACTACCACTACTACCACTACTACCACTACTACTTCTACTACTACTACTACTGCTACTGCTACGGCTACTGCTACTACTACTACTACCACCACTATCACCACTACTACCACGACTACCACTACTACCACTACTACCACTACTACCACTACTACCACTACTACCACTACTACTACCACTACTACTACTACTACTACTACCACTACTACTGCCACTACTACTGCCACTACCACCACTACCACCACTACCACTACTACCACTACTACCACTACTACCACTACTACCACTACTACCACTACTACCACTACTACCACTACTACCACTACTACCACTACTACTACCACTACTACCACTACTACCACTACTACTACTACTACTACTACTCCTCCTAGTACTACTACTACTACTGCTACTACTACTACTACTCCCACTACCACCACTACTACTCCCACTACCACCACTACTACCACTACTACCACTACCACCACTACCACCACTACCAGCACTACCACCAGTACCACCACTACCACCACTACTACCACTACTACCACTACTACCACTACTACCACTACTACCACTACTACTACTACTACTGCTACTACTACTACTGCTACTACCACTACCAACACTGCCACCACTACCACCACTACCACCACACAACCACTACTACCACTACTACCAATACTACAACTACTACCACTACTACCACCACTACCACCACTACCACCATTACCACCACTACTACCACTACTGCCACTACTACCATTATTACCACTACTACTACTACCACTACTACTACTACTACCACTACTACTACTGCTACCACCACTACCACTACCATTACCACTACCACTCCCACTACTACTACTGCTACTACTACTACTACCACTACTACTACTATGATGTTGTTAATCTTGCGTCATGTCCCTCGTTTAGCTGAGCAGCTCATCAGCTTGTCCCATTGGTTAGGAAGAGATTCGATGCGGGCCTGGGCGGCTATTGCTACCATGATCTCGGAGCTTTATTTTGTTTTCGTCTCATGCATGCGACGCTTGGCGCGGAGTTGTTTTGATGAACCATAGCATGGGAATATGGACAATGTTAACATTATGACATTGGATTAATATTAATTATAGGGTTGCATTGAACATTGTTTTATGACATGCTACAACATGTGATGAACAGTTGTTGTTTCAACACTTGGAAATTAGATTCGAACATATTCGAACTTTATTTACCTGGAGTGCTGGTAGTAAGGAACTGAAACTCGGCCTGTCACTGGAGCCAAGGACTTTTCTTCCCAGATCGATTCGTGACTTGTCAAGATTCCAGACAGGCAACGAGTGCGTTGGCAATGTATCCAGGCCCACCCAAACGGAATACAAATTCAAATCCCGACTACTTATATTTTTATTGTGTCAAACATTCCGTGAAACTCTACAAAATTTGATGTTGTTTCACGTTTCCACTCTTTTGGACACCCCTATGCCCATATTCCTACACATGGTCATGCCATGAATTTGCTTTCTAGTCCGTTCTATGTTACTGCATTGGTGGGCAGTGATGAGCAATGAACCGGGTTTTTTTATTTTCCGTTTTTGTTTTTGTGGGATTTGAGTCATCCTGCGACAACGATAGAGGGGAAGGTGCGGGTGCTGATTATGTTGGAGCCTTTCATAGCGGTTTTGGTTGGAACGACTGTCCCCAAACTCTGCGAGTGTCTGTGTGTACATCTCAAAGGCTTGAACAGTTGACTGTTATGCATTTGGAACATAGGTCATTGATCCAATGAAACAAATTTCAACTGATCAAATACTGAGTATTCTAAGATATTGCAATCTATTTCAGGGGTTTTAATCCACAGACGTGAATTTAAAGAATGCCTACCACACACACACGTACCGATAAGATATTTATATACAAGGCAAATAACATGTACACATGTCACATCGTCTCTGATATTGCTAAACTTTTGTCCCGCAAATTCATCTGCATGAATGGGCCATGTGCACAATACAATGTAATTAATGTAATGTCATGTCATGTCATGCAATGTAATGTAATGTAATGCAAACTGCAGTGCAACGCAACGCAACGCAATGCATGCATGCATGTATGTATGTATGCGTGCGTGTGGATACTGATAAGTAGTGTGGCATACCGTATCGCAAAACAAGTTGAACGCAATGTATATGCATGGCAGGTTAGGAGTCCCATCCACTTGTCCACCAGAAGATATGACAAAAAATGGACCCCTCGTGACAGCCGTCAGCCTCAGCCACTTCATCCTGCCAGATCTTTTCAGGACTGTTAAACCATCCATTTCTGAGGTTTAAACTTTGAACAACACAAAATCAACATCAAAAAATCGGAATTTGTAACCTGACCTGCCGAGCCCTCCTTGAAATTTGATCCAGGTGAAGCCTCTTTACCAAGACCTGCAGACTTGGTGCGTTTTGGCCATTCTTGCTGGCTTGCGTTGGACCTGCCGGCCGCATGGACAGATGTCGAAGATCAGCTCCCGGGGGGTGACGGTCTTGTTCAACGTGCCCCGCAGTTGGAATTTTTTGGACCATATGGGTGTGTCTGAAAATGTTGCGTACCCCTAAACCCAATGGTTAATGATCATTATCCCTATTAAATGGCTATTTCATTGGGAATATACCCAACATTTTCAGACAAACCCGTATTGAGACTTGGGCAGGTAAAATTCTGTGGTCGGCGCCACCGGCTCACCATTGCGACACCAACCATTCGCATCCCTCTCTATTGGATCATCCAAATAGATTTACATCCAGTCACACGCCCGCCCAGTCTTGGGCGGTGAAGGAAATTATATAGGTCGTTTTGCGTGTTTAAAGATCTTTATTCTGTGGGTCTATTGGTCATCAGTGTCATCATTTTTTTCAGACCCTTGGTGTGCCGACCCTTACAAAAGCATCCTTTCCCATGCCATGGGTAAACATTGGCCAGGGATACGACTCAAGTTGTTGTTCTTGATCTCCGGGATCTGAGGATGAGGATGTGTCTTATACATTACCCTCTGGTAAACTAACAGTTTGCTATTGAAAATTGCTATTTATAGTGGATTTACCCATTGAAAATGGGTATTTTCCATAGTTATGTTAGTTTACCAGAGGGTACATTTAAATTTGCATATTGCTTCCAGGTTGTTCTTTTTTGCAGGCTGTTGGCTAACAGGATCAGCATATGATGTGACTCCAGTCTTTGCTGTGATGAAAAACACTCGCCCTGTTCCACCATGATCACCCTGCCCCACTAAGATTCATCATGTTAGTCTCAAGCACCGAGACCAGCTATGTTCTCTAAAACCTGTTGATTGATCTGGGTACGGATCAATACCTATTAATACCATTTTGAATGGGATGAACATCCATAGATCCCAGCTATTTTGGGGTTCACTAGGTACCAGGGTTTTGACCCATCCCCATCTGATTAAGCATCATTTTATCAGAATGGCGGGTCTTTGTAGTCCATTGGGTCCATCGGTTGATCATGATTTTCCCTATTAAATAATTTTACCCTTTCATAGTTCATTGGTATAACCAGCCATTGAGTAAACGACCCGTTGGTTCATCATCTACTGATTAACCATCAACGTCAATTTCCTCATTGAAAATTAACATAAATTATAGGTAACTTCTATTTTCACACCCGCAATCAATGCGGTGCCCCAGTAAGTAGTTCAATATATGTACCATGAACCCAATAGTTAAGTCACATGAGTGAGTTACAAGCCAATGTAGAAAACTTGGGCTGAAAGTTCAGTCCCTATTGTTGATGCTTATAAATATATATATATATATCCCATTTTATCCCTCTATTAAATCATCATTGTTGCCCTATGAATTCCACATTTTGTAAGGTCAACATGTGTTTACTCCCAAGCAATCACAATAATTTCCCCATGTTTGTTGCATCGCCATGGCATACTTGGTGGCTCATCCCACTTCCAAAGTAGGTTTTAAACCCCCAGTTATAGGTGAATCAAGCCTACTCCCACTGAAGTTTTCAGTGGGTATATCAACCTCGGATCCGTGGGTTGCCACCCCCACCAGCCCCAAGGTTTCTTGCCTTCTCTGCACGATTCACATGCCCAACGAGCTCCTACCCGCCAGTGCTGTGAGCCGGGCGGCCATCGGCCTCTTCACAGAAGACCCGCTCTTCACAGTGCTGGTGCGCTGCGCCTGCCTGCCACTGGCGGTGCTGATCCACTACCTCCGAGAGGCGCAGCCGTGTTGCGTGGTTAAAAAGATATAAAAAGAGAAGAAGGAGACCGAGACCACTGGAAGTTTAAAAAAGATATGTTTATCCTGATTTATCCTCATATATGTGTTAAAGCCCTCAATGCTTTAGTAGTGTTGGATCTTATCATTTTGGAGGCTCGGATGGGAAGTAGAAAGGATTAATTGCGAGACAATTCAGGGATGTACTTGGGAATGTCATGAACCCACTAACATGATATGGCCTGAATATGTTTGGGTTAATTATCCCTTTCACCCACGAGGCCAGTGGATAGTGATGGTTGATAAGGGTGCCCTACCGAAAATGTGGTAATTCTATGTAGTTCTGGTGAGGGAAAAACCATCTGCCAGGCAAACAGAATGCCAGACAGAATGCCCGACAAATGTCACAATGTGTGGCAAGAATGCCAGATCGAATGCCAGCTAAAATGCCGGACAACATGTCGGAATGTATGGCCAGAATGCCAGATAGAGTGCCGGATTGAAGCACTTTTTGCTAAACGTATCCTCTACCCATGCTGCTGCAGCAATGGCGGCGTAATTTGGCGTAATTGCGGCGTAATTTGGCGTAACTGCGCAAAGTTGTTGCAACATGGTTCAATGACTCCATTGTGTTTGTTGGGGATGGTTTTTGTATGTTTTGGTCAATTGCAGGGATGCATGTGGCCGCAGCGTTCTTCTTGTCAATTGCCCAAACTTGTTGTATTTGCATCTCTGTACTTTGCAGCTAACTAAACAAAGTCTGATGTGTCACATGACATAGCCGAGAGACTAGGGGGCTGAACGTAGCAGAATGTGTAGCTACTGGGCACTTAACCAAGATGTTACCAACAACCATGGCTCTGATTTGCGGCGTTTTTCTTGCATTGCGGCAAAAATAAACGCCACAATGGATTGCGGCACTTTTTTTATCCTCCAAGTGGATCTAGGTATGCCAGAAAAAAAATGTCAGACAATATAAGATGTCGGAATATATGCCACAGTGGGGATGCTTCGAAGAAAGTATTTCATTGTTTGGTTGTGTGGATGGGTATCGGTATTGCTGGTATCCACATACTGGGTGAAAGTTGGGGTTCTAGCGGATTAAAAAACTGAAAAAGCAAACAACAGCAAAAACAGAGGTGGTGCACTGCGAAGATATTGGAGATCTACATTTTTCTGCGAAATCTGGAAACATTCTGTTCTTGTTTCGATCTTGTTCCGTTTAGGCCGTTTGGGACCTCATTGTATGATCGGAAAAGCTGCAGGAAACCCCTAGAATTGATGGTAAATGTGGTAAATACCCAATAACACATTGATATATATGAATATATATAGTAAGTCCCATAACATGTATGGCATATAATTTATGGTTTCCGGCAGATCACCAAAAGGCGATCCTTTATATATATTCATATTGGACTCGTCCAGGACGAGTCCGAGAAATTACTCGGCTGCACCTTGGTGGTGGTGGCTGAGCTGATCAGTTGCCTGTCGATGGCCTTCACACTGCTCGAAGTGGATGCGGCACTTTGCAAACAGGCCCCCGCAAAAATCGGCCAGGGGTGGGTTGAACAAAGGGGCCTTGATTTGCATGAAAAAATGCAGAGATTTTTGGTATGGTTCCATATGTTTCCATTTTCTTACTGGTGCTAACTGCAGGGAATGGAGGGTTGGGAATGGGGTTGCTGGGATGATTATTGATAGTTAGCCAGTGGATCATTCCCGAAAATTCCCTACGTTTAGCACCAGTAAGTCGGCCAGGGGTGGGTTGAACATTTTGCGAGTTATCGATTGTTTTTTCAACCTGAGAAATTGGGAAGAATAAACATTGGGATGTAAACTCAACCGTAAGTATCAATATGGTTATATAATGATGCTTGGGGGTAAAGAATGGATAGAACTTTATGGTAATAAACCTATAAATTGATATATGGGGCCCCTATATCCACTTCTAACTGGGCGCCTCCGAACAGGCGCAAAGTTGCGCGCATTCCAATATTTACTCGCGCCATAATTCCCCACAGCCTATGGAAAAAGAAAGACGGATGCCTTGTGAGGAGCAAACTGCGATGGATTTAGAGAAGCACATTCAGAAACGAGAGGAGGACATGAAGGAGACAGAGAAGGCGCCTTGCGATCAAGAGTAGATGATTTACTATGGGAGACATCTTGCAAGTTTCATCAATTTAACATTTGTGGATTGAATGGGGGCAATTGTTTTGAAAAGGAGTCTCACCCAAAACCATGTTTGGAAGCGCCAAATGCTTGTCATCGTGCCGTTTGAATGTCCGCGACACCTCAATATGTGAGTGGAGCCTAGTCACTTGGCAAATTAGCAATTGGAAAATCATTTGTAAAAGTAGAGAATCATTTTTCTTAATTATCCAAAACTTGCGATTTTCAGCCAACCATGTGATATTGTTTGAGCGTATGCCGTCATTTTTTGGATCATTGGTGCTGGTTCCAATCTCCATTGAGGCTCTTAGATTCCCAAGCCGGTTGGTGGTTTCATTTGTCTTGCAATTTTCGCTGCAAACCTCATGTGTGACCGCCCAAAATATTGACGGAACGCGTCCTTGAATGTCTACGTCTATGGCTAGGATACAGTGCTGGCAGGATACAGTGCTGGCAAATGTAAATGATCGTTTTACATGGAATCAAACTGACAGAGTATGCTGCGGGGACTCCACTTTGTGTGTATGATGGCAGCCATGTTTTTGTTTTTCTTCATTCAGATCATATCCTGCCTAGATGAACCAAGGCATGATCTGATCAAAATCCCACCTGTCTACCGGCTACAGTAAGAATTATTGGGATCAAAAGCGCCAGCCAGCAACATTTTGATGTGCTTTACCCTTTGCCAACCTATATATCCTGGTTTGCTGGAACATCCTCATTTGCGTCGATGAATTCCCCAGAAAAAGACACTAATAATTGATAATTGATAGGGATGTTTCATGATTTTTCCCATAGCATATCTATGAGGACCGGAAGACTTCCTTCATCGATGCTGGATGCACCATCCAGTACCCAGCCAATGTTTTTGGGATCGGTGACTCAGGTGACCAACAAACATTTCGTCGACCAATATTCGTGGTCAAGTGGAATGCCAGGTAATTTTTTATTTCATAGCTTGACAGCTATTAAAAACTTATTAAATCAATTACCATTTGGTAATTTGGCATCAGATCTGTGTGAATGATCTCTCAGAGGAGCAATGATCCAAAGGGTAGCATCCAATCACCCACGGAGACCAGACAGGTGCTCCGGGCAGCTCGCCGACTTCTGTCGGTCACATGTGCCTCGCTTTTCATTGAAGTCTGGATGTGTTGGTTGTGTTAAAGATGGTTTTCAGATGGTTTCAGTTTTTTGAAGTTGTAAAGATTTGTTTGCATCGTTTTCTGTAAGATGTTTCAAAGTTCGATTAGGATGCAGTACGTGCCACTTTTTTGAGTTCGTTCACTTCCTTTTTTGACATGTGGTACGCCCAATGGACAGCCCATGGGCGAGATTTTTTTCTCAAGATATTTACCATCAGTTAAACAAGATTAAATAGTAAATTAGGCAGGGGTTTTGGTTTTTACACCATTCCAGATTTTATCCCTATTGACTGAAGATATAGAATTAGGCAACCAGGCTTTTGGTCGAGGTTTCGGACCTATATCCTCAGGCGACTGCTGTGAGCGCCTGACGCACCACTGGCAGATTGTTGAGCCTTCACGGGGCATTTTGGAACTGTTGCACTTGAAGGAAGATGTAACTGGCAAAAGGTGGCATTGGGTGGTGGCACATTGTTGCTGGTGTTTACCATTGTTGACCTGTTTGGATCAAAATATATCAAAATTGGCTTCCCCTAAAAAAATTGAATCTGAGATTCCCAAGATGCATAAGTTGATGGTTGATGGTTGATGGTTTGTTCATCACCCCAACATACACAAAAAATGGGATTCTTGAGAAGTCCGCCTCATGAGACCAACCTTGACCAACTTTTTCTGCGAAGGGGTGATCATATTTTCCCATTTCTTGGATGACACGTACGCTAATCAATAAATCTGATTGAGTATGCATTTTTCTGCATGCATGAATATTTATATATATATATAAATATACGACTTCACAAATAACATATCGAATGAATTGCTCTGTGGTACTTCCTCAAGTATCTCTTTTCTGGCGCCCAGGCATCGGCAAAGCTCTTGCCCTTTCTGCAGTTCATTTGCCCTGAAGACCAGCAGCGTTTCGCCCACTTCGCGGATGTGTCGCACACCACGGATGCGCCATCCTCGTTGCACGTTCGCATGACGAGTGGTAGCGATGGCAGTCTCTTTGATGCCCAAATCTTCTTGGTGAATCTACCTGGCACACTGGACAACTGGATTTGCTGAAGGTTAATTTTATTTATATAATGTAATTTCATGTAATTTCTGTGTCCACATATTTCCATCATGTTTTTTAGAATCCACCTAGTTACCTAGTGGGGAAATTTGCACATATTTCCACCAGTTTCTTAAGAATCCACCTAGTTACCTAGTTGGGAAATTTGGTTATTGGTATAGGGCACAAAAATGTTGTTCAGTCATGCATGTTTTCCTCGGGTTTGCCTTCAGTAAATTCAAGGAAAACAAGAACGAGCCTGGGTACCTCATTGGGATTGCCACCATTCAAACGCAAGAACCCAGCCAGAACATGGTCAGTGACTCGTCAGAAAGCCACGTCGTGCACATGTGTTTGTGTTTTTCCTTTTTCTTAGTGTCAGAACTCCAATTTTAGATTCTTTTAGACCAAAATGGGTTGACTGTACTACACATAGGATTGTTTACTCCCCGCCGCCAAAGAAAACACATCTCAATTACCACCAATTCAAAACTTCATCCCCAAAAAGGATCCAGAAAACAGTTCGCCCAAACAAAAACAGTTTAAGCAGTTCCCAGGTCCCAAACCTCTCCGGCCATTTCAGATCCTCCAGGCATTCCAGAGCATCGGCCCTTGACCTCGTCCACAGGGGCCCTTGACGCCCGCAAGGCACGCCGCTCGCGGCGCTGCTCTCGCAGCAGCGCCAGCAGCGACAGCAGCAGCGTTTCAACGGTGAATGGGCAGGGATTGGCTCAGATGCACCAGGTAACTGGGCAGATGCATCAGGGGCCAAGATTTTTTGTGATATTTTGGGCTTATCTTTGACTGGATTGGTGGTTTAATGATGTTCAATGATGTTTAAAGTGTTTGATTATATACTTCGTAGTCTTTGGAATATGGTTCCCTTTTGGGGCGATTGGGAATATGTGCAAGCTTTTGCGCACATGTGACATTTTTCTCAACTTGAAAGACCGCAGGAAGAACAACTTCATTCTAGGATGGCGGTGTAGCAAATAGTTTTGTTCCTGATTGAAATTGCGATTTTGGGCTTTACCCCAGACCCAAAATGAGGGTTGCAAGGTCTCTTTGGTGGTGACATTGTTTGCGTTCCCAGCTTAGGTGACTGGGATGAGGATTGAGAGGCTACCATCTTGACCAATCCTGATTTGGAATTGCTTCACCATTGATGCACTGAGTAGGCCTCTTTTGAGGTTTCAAAATGTTTCAAATATGGTTTCAGACATATCCATACATATCCGCCAATATCATCCAATATCACCCATTATCCTTACCCGAGACGATCCCAATCAACCAACAACATGGTGTTTTTTTCTGCATTTTGAAGGGGGACATCTACGTGTTGGTGTTTGCGTGTTTGTGTTTGTGTCTGTGTTTGTGTCCGTGTGTATGTGTGTGTGTGTGTCAGTGTCTGTGTCTTTGTCTGTCACTGTCTGTCGCTGTGTTTGTGTCCTTGTGCATGCGTGCGTCCGTGGGTGGGTGTGTGTGTGTAAAATTCGGTTGATGAAATTGTTGCTTCTTCATACCATTGCGGACCTCACCCACGTGGATTTAGCTTCGAACCTCACCAGTTTGGATTGAACCTCAGAACTCACAACCAGACCAGTGCGTGTCTGGGGGGTTGTGTTTCTTTGAAAATAAGGTACCCCACATTTGAAAATAAGGTACCCCACATCCGCTGGTTCATCAGCATTTTCGGTCTTGGCAAAACATGAAAAAAGACATGTCTTTGGGTGTACATCTCAGTTCTGTTGGGGGTTTACACACCATTTTTTCAGGGATAAAACTCACCATCGAAAATCGGTGATTTTCGGGGCATATTTCCAATCAGACCCTTGTGCTGCTTGGGGCTGCTAAAACTGTGAGTTTTTTGAGGCGCTGGAGGCACTTGACCAGATCAGTCTGCTGATTGACCTGAACACTGTGACACAAGGCTGGCCCGAAACCACAATCCATCGTCAGACCCTGATTCTTTAGGATCTAAACCTCCCAAAACGGAAAAACACACATGAGCACTGGATGATTGAAGAAAGGTATCACCATTGTTCTTTTGCATATTATGAACTTCCCGGGGCCCCCAGGGCCGTTGCCTTCCATGGAATCCTGGGGATGAGGCTACTGCATCCGTTCCGCCCAGTTTCTCTTCAAGGAGTCAGCAGCCCTGGATGTGCTGCCCAAGCTGTACAGCTGGGTACGGCAGCAGCACCAGCCCACGGTGGAAGATTGGATCCAGGAACATGTCGCTAGCAGCGAGAAGTCCTCGGGTTCTTTGGGTGAAATCAATGCCCGATTCACCGTAGATTTTGGCCCAATGTCTTTTTTTTCATATGTTGCCCGCCTGGTTCCCATAGTTTGGTTCATGATCTCAATCTAAGAATTTTCATTTGCCAGCTATTAAACCATATTAAACCTATATACTGCGAATGCGAATCTAAACCATAAATGGCTCAAGCGCCCCCCGGTTTCCCTCCTTCCGCGGGGGGGGCGCATGGAGGAAACCATCCTCAGAGTTGGTGAGGTTTGCGTCAAGTGCTTGCAAGACCAGAAATACTTGCTCGTCCCTGTCGAGGCAGTGGGCTCATTTGGCTCACTCCAGCCCCTGCCCCCGCCCACCACCCCCAGTGACGCCTCCTCCAGCGAGAGCGAGCCCGGGCCAGCAGACCCTGCTAGGCCGCAAGCAGAGGCGACAGACCCCCATCCCCCACACCCTGCCGTGATCCCGTCCAGCCCCATTGTCACACTGACTCCCCGCCCCCCCGCCCCGGCCCCAGCCCAAGCCCAGCCGAAGTGAGATCCCCCAGCAGCCCTCGATCGGATCGCTGGGTCCGGCCCCGGCGCACCCCAACCCGCAGCCGCAGCCGCCGCTCACCCAGGGCCAGACGCACGCCCCCCCCAGCCCCCCCCCCCCCCCCGTCGAGAGGCTACCCGGGTGCGGTCCACCAACCAACCCCACCCCCGGCGCACTGGCACCCGCCGTCGCGGCCGCGGCGGACAAGGAGGCCGTAACAGGCTCTCCCACGACCGACGCCGCCCAGCCCCCGTGGCCCGGCAACAACCGAACAGGCCGTGTCCACCCTTGCCAGCGGCAGCCCCGCCAGGCTACGTGCCCATCCCACCCCCTGCACTCGCAGTGCGGCCCCGGCCACCCCAACCCCTCCGAGTCCCCCTCACAGCCGCCATCCCCCGCCGGCTGCCCCCTTGGCTCCCTTATCGGAAGTGAGTAGCGACCCCGCCCCGCCCTGCGTGCGCCAAGTCTTTTTGAACATCACATTTGAAACGGGCAGCACCAGGGGAGCGGATTTTTCAAGCCGTAGCATTTCCCCCCCAATTCTGAGTGACAACGAAGGTGGTCCCCTTTCTGAATTCATTCCATATTTTCGTTTCAAGCATACAGGCCCGAGACGTGCCGACCACCTTTGGGATCTCCGGGCTCCCGACAACACAACGAAGCCAGTGCGTCAGGGCGCGCCATTTTTAACCTACAGCCCGGCAGCGCCACCCGCAGTGGAACTCACGTGGCAATCGTTTGTTTGCATTTTGCAGCCTCCGGCAATTTGTGGTTTTTGAAAGCCTTTTAGATCCCGGGCCGCAGTGTTTTTTCCTCCACCTCAGCCACGGCAATTCCCGTTTGATTGTCATTCAAGCCTTTCAAAGCAACAAACAAGGAATAAACGTCGAGCATCGCGGGAGGGCAGCGGAGGCTGCACTCAGCGTGTACAGTGGCGCAGAGACTGGCGACCCAGCACCCTGCAAAAAGGATCGCGTGCCTGGGCTGCGGCAACTTTGCTGGTCCCCCTCGAAAGGGCTCCGCCCTCACCTCGCGTGCCGGGCTCCGCCCGCCGCCACCCTTACCGGGCCTCCGGCTCAGGCTTTGCAGGGCTCCGCCTTCCCCACATGGCCGACCCCCACGGCGACCCCACCCCACACCCCGCCACACCCACCACCACTCTTCCCTCACCTGCCCCCGCCACCGTCCCCCGGACCACACATGTCCCCTCCCCGTGCACCATTTGCCTCGACCCCATCACCCTGCACAGTGCCACGCACCGCTCCGAAGCGTTGTGGCCAGGGTGCCGCCACCCCTACCACCTCGCATGCTTGGCCCGCACCCGCGCGCGCATGCCTAACCCAGTGTGTGCTTTGTGCCGCCAGCCTTGGCCCCCGCACGAAGACAGCGCCCTATCTTTGGCATGCAACACTGTCGGCATCAACCCCTACCAAGATTCTGAAGCCGAACTTCCCCCGGCGCCCCCCTCCAACCCCTGCCCCAACCCTGCCCCCCCTCATCTCCCCGACGCTTCCGCCCCACCGCCGCACCACCCCCTGCCCGCCCCTACATGGCGCACCAGGCCTCCGCCTGCTGGCGTCGTCCACACCCCCGCGAACTCGTGGCTGTACGTGCCGCTACTTCTCGGCGCCGCGCAAGAACTTGCCCCAGACACCTTGGCCCAATGGCAATCAACTTGCGGCCCCTGGTGGGAAGCCGCGCGACGCGCACTCGCCGACGCCGACCCGATACCCCTCCCCGAGATCGCGATATCACGCCTGCCTCCGGGGCCGCTGCATTGTGCGACCGCTTACACGCGGCAGCGGCACCTCTTCCCGCCAGCACGCGCGTTCACCTTGGCTGGGTGGTGCGCACCTTCAGCGATGCCGATGGCTACATACCAGCAGCGGGGCAAGAAATCAGCCTGCAACTCTACGGTGGCTTGGGCCTCGCCGCAGACCTTGATCGCCGGTCGGACACATTCCGGGCCGGCGCCCCATATGAACCCCCCGCTCTCGCGCACCCCTACCCGCCGCCATCCCCCCGCCCCTCCCCCCCCGACCCCGCGTGCGCCCCGCACACCAGCGCCAGTGGGATCAGCGCGCACCGCCGACCGGCCGCTCGCCGAAGCTGCCGCGGTCGCGGGCGAGGGCGGGCCAGGGCAGAACGACCCCTTCCCCCTTCGCCCCCCACCCCAAGCCTCTCCGCGGCCTCCTCCCCTCCGCCCCCTCCCGCGCCGGCCCCCAATCCCGCCCTTTCGGCCCTGGACGCCATCGACCTCGCCACCGCCTTGCGCCAGCGTGTCTTCACCCTTCAGACACCACCCCGGCGGATGGCCCCAACGCTAGCCCACGGGTACCGCACCGCTCTGGAACATATCACGACGCCCGCCACGCCCGCATGCCAAGAACGTGGCTGGAAGCTGTTCTTCCTGCTCCCGCGGATGCTGCTCCACCGCCCGCCTGGCACTTCGCAGCTGTGCCCTGCTGCCCTCGACCACCGCGCAGCTGCCTTCATCGCCGGGCAGTGGGGGGAGCTCCTCGCAGCAGCGTCCCCCCCTACCCCCCCCCCCCCTGCCCCTGCCCCGCCCCCCACCCGCCCAGACCTGGAGGCACGCGCTGAGCGAGCCGCTGCCCTCGCACACCTTGGCGAACTCTCGTCAGCAGCGCGCGCCCTCACAGCCGAGCCCCTTGCACCCGGCACACCCGCCACCCTTGCCCAACTCCGCGACCCCGTCCGCAGACCCCCTTTGCCAGCCCGCCCTATTTCTTCGGAGCTCTTGCAGCAACAGTCCCCAGACCTCGTCCTCTCAGAAACCAAATTCTTAGCCAACCTGCGGCGTGCCCGTCGCGGCGCCGCGGCCGGACCCTCTGGCATGACGGCAGAACACTTGCGGGTCCTGCTTGATGCGGACGCTGACGCTCATCTCCTCTACCTCGCGGCCCAACAACTCGCCACTGCCACCCTCCCCGCCCCCATCCTGGCAGGGCTCAGGCTTGGCCGCTTGGTCGCACTCCGCAAGCCCGATGGCGGTGTGCGCGGGCTAGTCATGGGGGACACCTTCCGGCGCTTGGTCGCCCGCACCCTGGCGCAACAATTTGCGGCTGCATTCGAGGCAGCATGCTTGCCGTATCAGTACGCCTTGAGTACCCGCGCGGGGGCCGAGGCCTTGGCACGCACCCTCCGCTTAGCGACGGAAGCCGACCCGCGCGCCACCCTCCTGAGCGTCGACGGGGTCGGGGCGTATGACCATGTCTCGCGACAGGCCATGCTGACCGCCATGGCCACCAACCCCACCACTGCCGCCTTGCTTCCCTTAACACGATCCTTCTACGGCGCCCCGTCCGAATATGTCTGGTACGACCAGTCCTTGACCCCCCACACTATCCACCAAGGGGATGGTGGTGAACAGGGCGACCCACTCATGCCCGCCCTTTTCAGCCTCACCCTCCACAGCGCGCTCCAAGCCATTTCCCGCCACCTCCAACCCGAAGAAGCCCTTTTGGCATACCTCGACGACCTCTACGTCATTTCTGCCCCCGCCAGAACCGTTCCCATTTTCCACCTCCTCGAAACCCACCTCCGCGCGCATGCAGGCATCAGCCTACACCTTGGAAAAATTCGGATTTGGAACGCAGCTGGGGAAGAGCCCGCAGACGCCCACACCCTACAACCAGCTGCGCAGGCCGAGCCAATCTGGACCGGGGCATGGACCCTCCCGGCAGCCGAACAAGGGCTGAAGGCCCTCGGCACGCCCATTGGCCACCCGGACTATGTCGCAGCGGCTTTGACGGCTAAACGCGCCTCACATGACCGTTTGCTCGACGCCATCCCTTCCGTGTCCGACACGCAGGTCGCTTTCCTTCTGCTGCTCCAGTACGCTTGCCCCCGGGCCAATTACCTCTTGCGCGTCCTTCCGCCTTCCCAAACCGACGCATTCGCACAGGCGCACGATACCGCCATCGCCGCGTGCCTTGCCCGCATCCTCACCGAAGGAACACCCCTTCCCCTCCCAGCCCAACAGCGCGCCCGCCTCGCCCTCGCCGCCGGCGGCCTCGGCTTACGATCGGCTCATGCTAGCCGCCAGGCAGCATATTGGGCATCCTGGGCCGACAGCCTTCCCGCCATTCACCGACGGCTGCCGGCCGCGGCAGACAGGATCCTCCACCTCTTGCGCGGTGAAGTGCGCCCCCTCCCACCAGCTGTCATAGAAGCAACACAAGCGACCCATGCCCTTCGCGCCCACGGCTTCCAACCCCCCGCGTGGGACACCCTCACCTTGCCGGGCCCCCCGCAACCCCTCCCCCGTGACGCTGGAGACTACCACCGTGGGTGGCAACGCCTCGCCAGCACAGCCCAAGACCGCAACGAGCTGGCCGCGCTCCTTTCTGACCTGGACCCTTCCTCGCGCGCGCTCTTGCATTCCCAGGCTGGTCCCTATGCGAGTCGCACCCTCACCGTGTACCCTACGAATCCCGAGTACACCCTGTCGCCAGAGCATTTCCGCGTGTGCCTCCTGCGCCGCCTCCGCTTACCCCTCCCCTTCACCAACCACCGCTGCAGTTGCGGCGGTGCCCTTGACCCTTTGGGAGACCATCGCGCCGCCTGTGCCACCTCCGGATTCCTCCGCGCCCGGTCCATCCCCCTGGAACGCGCCGTGGCCAGGATATGCCGCGAAGCAGGGGGCCGTGTCCGTACAAACGTCCTCCTGCGGGACATGAACCTCCCCTGTCCTCCCCCGGACGCACGCGCGATTGAAGTCCTCGTCGGCGGAGTGCCGCTGTGGCACGGCGCGCAGATCGCAATCGACGCTACCTTGATGAGCCCCATCCACCGCAACGGTGAACCCCGCCCCAGAGCCGCCAGTGAACCCGGCGTCACACTCAACCAAGCCGCGCGCCGAAAACGCACCCAGACCTACCCTGAATTCCAATCCAGCACTCGCTGCAGTCTCGCAGTGTTTGGGTTGGAGGTAGGAGGCCGGTGGTCGCCCGAAGCCGTGCACCTCGTCCGGCACCTCGCCCGCGCACGCGCCCGCACCGAACCCACCTGGGCACGATCAACGGCAGCCGCCGCCTGGGCGCTGCGCTGGGCCGCGCTCGCAGCCATTGCCGCCATGCGAGCGCTCGCAGCGAGCCTCCTGGACTTCCCTGCGCATGGCGAAGATGCAATGGACGGCCCACCCCCCCCCTCCCCCAGCTCCTCGCCGAAACCCGGTGGGAGGACCCCCACTCACCCAGCCGCTTGCCCCCTTGACGCAGTGTAAAGACCTATCGTTTCTGACGCGCGCCGGCGGATTTGGGTGGGAAGGGGACAAAAAAAAAAGATGTCTTCGGTCAACTATTCTTGGCAACTTGCCGGTTGCAGCCTCATTTGCCCATCCCGAGCCGGAGACGCGTTTCAAGCTGGAAAGACCAGGGCGATGTGAGCGGCCGAGAAAAAAAAAACATAAATGAATGTTGTACAAAATATTCATCAGGAAGGAATCGATTATTCCATTTTGGTGATGTGTTATGATCATCCAACTCTCACATGTCCTTAGCCCCTGGTTGTGGAGAAATGACAAGCCGACTGCGGAGCCCCAAATTTTGGGGCACTGTTTCAACTGCCTCCCCAGCTACAGCCATAGCTACAGCCATGCAATGACCATGCGCCCCCATACCAATCAAACTATGTAACAGTGTATAACCAAGAATCCATTCAAAATGAATGGTTTCAAGTAAGGGACTAAAAAGCACTTCAGCAATATATGATGGCGGTATTGGGAAACACCATCTAATGACCTTTAAAAGTCGACAATCCATGATATAGCGCCGCGACCCGTCGCGTATCCACACCAGGATGGTTCACAGCAAGGCCCCAAAAATGACGACTCTATGACACAACATATTATATAGATGTACCATGATATACCAGAGATTACCAAATCAGACCAAACCCATACTACTAAACAACTTCAATATTTCAATGCCAGTGATTTCATATGCTCATTGCTACTTGATTTCATATCCCGCAGTTTTGGAGGTAATTCCTGGTAAATATACCATACACACCGAGCATTTGGGCTATGTTTGCAGATCAACCGAATCAAAAATTCAGGTGAACGGCTGGTACGCCACAGGCAGCTGCGAAACCACGGAAACGTGTCGAGGGATCAAGTGCCGAGTGCCCGGCACACAGGCAGGGTGAAGTGGTGAAGGCAGTAAAATAGTGAGGTATAACAGGACAATGGCGATGGAGAGAGAGAGAGAGAGGACGGGACAATGATGTTCAATGATCTTTTCCCCCTAATTAATAATAAACACCCCCCCGAAACCATGTTTTAGTAGGGGATTTCCATATAATTGGGACCATAGAATGGGGGTGTTTAATATTACGGGGATGGGATTAATCATAATGAATAATGAATAAGGGGATTTAAGCAATTATAATGATGTAATTATATATAGTGTAAAGAGTAAACAATAGTGAATGATAGTATGATGAGTGTATAGGTGAAGTCTCCATAACAGTGTGTCATGGGTAGGATTTAACCAACAACGTAATGCAAAATAACATAGCCAGATACCATCCCCCGAACTTTGATCCTGAGAATTGGTGAAGAGGTGGATATGGAGGATACAGCATGCCCAAGGGCAGGGATCTCAGAATAGCCATTGTTGTTCACTAAGGCATAAAGGGTCCACCAAAAAGATAGAACCGTGATTTCCTACCAGCGTATATTCTGATTGCATTTTACTGATCGTTTTTTAGGGGGAGTAGCCCGTCCCCAAGTCTTCCATGAACTTTGAAATGAGCCTACCTGTGATCATATGAAATCATTTGATTTTACAAAAGGACTTTGGGTGTTGTTGGCCTATGTGACAGGTATATACCTGAAAATAGAGGGGTTTGTGAATGACTGGTGAGTTAACGTTCAGCAATCAAGTGAATAATTTCATGTCACACTGGAAATCGCTCCATTTTTGGCGGAGCGATTTCCCTGGTTGATCTCTCCAGTGTTCCGCTGCATTCCTTGTCCCGAACTCTCTAACCCTGATGCTTCCGTCGTGTTAGCCAGTAGCAATGCATATCTTATATATAGCTGGCTGGAATAACCAAAGTTCGTGCACCTCTTATATAATTAAAAGGGTTGCAATTAACTTGCTTTCTAAGTGGAGTGAACCACGAAATGCATAGCAACCACCAAAAAGGGTAGAAAAGTGCTTCCAGGATGGTATATAGATGATGCTGCTCCTATTTTTTCCAGCTTTTCAACTTTTCGATCTTTTTGGGAGTTTCTATCATTAATCCGTTAGTCCTGTCCTCAAAACATAGCACCCCGATTCATTTGACCCCAAACTTGGCCCAGTCCTAGTACAGGTAGTCCACGCAGGGGGGCTGCAGGCGAGCTTCTTGGTCGGAGAGTTGTCCACTCAGGGCATTGCTTGCAAAGGTCTGGGGCAGGTGCCGGAAGAAGCATGGCAGCAGAGCAGTGCTTGGGAAGTGGAGGAGTAGGGGGAAGGAGGCTACTAGGTAAACTTTGGTCAGCTAGGTGACCGGTAGGTGAATGTGTTTTTTTCCCTCCTGTGGTATTGAAATCTGGCAAAAGATCGAAGATCATATGCTGCTGACAACGTGTTGGTTCTTTTCAGGGTAGGCTGGCCATCGCTTGGGAATGAAATTCAAATTTTTGAGAGTGGCTTCGGCACCTTACTGAGTGTGTTGATATTACGAATTTCCTAGCAATTTGGGTTTCACAAGAGGCCTGAGAAAGAACAAACAAACGATGCACATTCTTGCAAGAAGGGCGATGATCGGCTATGATGGAATACTCTTCGTCCCTTTTCGTAGGCCTAAGAGCATGTGTTGGCAAAGCCCATTTGAGCATGCACAAAACCACCATGGCACTGTTGGCACCCCGGAAAGCTTCCGAGAAATCATCAGAAGAGCGCAGCCAAAAAATGGAGTTCTTCAGTTGTCATCGGTGCTGCGCCAGGATGACTACTCTCTTATCATGAAAATCAACTTGCGGCAGCTCCATCCAGCTTAGCCATGCTTGAGGGGATGACCACTGAGCTGGCCCATCATCCAAGTTGCAGGTTGCTCCAAGTTGTACGCAAAAGGAAGATCATCCAAATGATCGTCGATGCATTTTTTGTGGTTTGACCATGTTGAAACTGGAACCCAAAGATTGATACCTTTTGCTGTTTCTGCAACCTCTACCGGTCATCCAAGAGCCAGTGACCTCAAAACAGAAGCGCGGATACCACTTGTAGCACTTGGTGGTTGCAAGATTTTACACATACAATCACATCACAAGGATTAAAAAATGTCTAGAATCTTCGGCTGTGGTTTGTTTGTTTCTGTAGTTCCTCTTCGTTTCTGGTGGTTTTGCCCCAAACTTGGGTGATACATGATACAAGAATCCACCGGGCCCAAAAATGGAGATATACCATTATATTACCCTAGAAGTATCATGAAGTCTCTCAAAATTCCTTTTTGTAGGGAAAGAGCTGGCAATAGCTGGAACATGGCTGTTTGATGCGTGTTCTAATCGTTCTCCTGCTGTGTCCTCAAGGTTTCCTCTCTGACCGGAAACTACTGGTACAGTCGACCCTCTGCCAATCTACACAGATCATCACAGATACCCTCTGGTTATGACTAACATAGCCATGGGAAATGGCCCATAGAAATAAATGGTTTACCGTTCTTAAAAATGGTGGATCTTTCCATGGCCATGTTAAATAACCAGATGGTACATGATTCTTCTCCCAAGACTGAAACTTAAGAGATGGATTTAGTGCATGAAGTATCTCCTCTGAGGCTCTCGATTCCTTGAAGCTAACAGCAGTAATTAACGATGGTTCCAGGCCAGGTGTCCATTTCACTTTGGATTGTGGCATGGTGCATCAATCCCACAAACAATATCAGCAACTTCGTTAGATCTCACCGCTGGAAACACCACAGCTGTAAATGCACAGTGAAGTGGATTTGCAATGGAGGATGCTTCCTTCATTGCCACCGTGGGGAGTGTCTACGTGGCCACTGTCTGGTCAATGGGAAATCCCGATTTGAGAAGTGCATTGAAGAGCAGGTCACATGTGGAACAAAGGGAGTGGGATGACCACTAGATATCACTAGATGTCCCTTGCCCACTTTTACAGCAGTGACTTCTTTCTTAGTTGATATTACAGTAGTTGAACAATCTATTGCGGCAAACAGTGGCGAATGGTATGTCAAAGCAATCCATTCGCCAATCTTGTCAATACCCAAAAGGACATCAAAGTGAGAATGTCACCAGCCCATGGCGCCCAGATTTCAGGGCAGAGGGTTCGCGATTGGTCACTTATGGTCCACTGGGTCGGTTATCAGCCTGATTATGGAGAGTCCACCGAAACATGGTTATTTTCCTCATTCTTGACCACTATTTCCCCCCGGTAAATATACAGTTGGACCCTGAAAATCACCAATTTTTAATGGAAACTAATCCTCCAACCCCTATCTGGCAGGGTCTATGTTAATTTACTGGAGGGTAATCATTATCAACCATTGACTTTACCTATGCTTATTAAAAGTCGATCATCAACTTTGGACTCACTCTCGGCCCTGGTAACTGCTAATGGGCTGAGCCACCAAGTATAGAGGCTCAATTCGATGATGTCATTCATCGCGGTGAGACACAGGCAAAGTTTCTATGTTAATGTCAATAGACCACAAAATGATCTGGTTTGCATTTAATATAATATACACACATACTATAACACATAGACGTGCACAAGTAATGTAGAACTATAGACTTAACAATATATCATATAGCATTGGGTATATCATGGTGCTGTTCTTTTAGTATCAAAGACTCTCTTATTTTTGGCCTTTTGGGCATGTTGACTGGGTGCATTTCGGTGCAGGTGGAGCTTGGTCATTGATGGCAGCAAGTCTCGCTTTCGCATGCACGAAGCTCGAATCTTGGCGTATTCAGGTGCTTCATTCGCTGGGTTTAAGGGAATGGTGATTTCCTGTAAATTTACCCTTAAACCAATCCAATGATTCATTTACTTCCTGTACCCCCTGGTTGTTTGACATATAATTGGAAAGTGGCATATTTATAGATGATTTAAATATCATGAATTACCGTTTAAGAATGGTGATTTTCCATAGCTATGGCAGCTACTTTAAATAACCAGAGGGTATGTTTTGTTTAGGCAACAGTTATTTTTTTATGACATGAAGACGATGCTGTTGCTACTGAATATGATATGGCCGGTCAGTATAATGACTGGTGCTGATAGTGACGACAAATTTTATTGTCATGATGATGACGGTTTTTGTGATATCATTACAAGATATTACAAGTAATTATCCCTTTACCTTTGTCATGATCATGATTATCATGGTGATGATGATTTGTATATATATATATATATGCTGTTGCTGTTGCTGCTGCAGATATCTGAAGCATTCCAGCATTTTTCCACCCACAGTTACTGCTAAAATCCACGATGACCTCCTTAGATCACTTGGATCTCAGGAAGAGATTCGATGCGGGCATGGGCGACCATTGTCACCATGGTTTCGGAGCTTTATTTTGCATTCGTCTCGTGCATGCGACCCTTGGGCATTGCAAAGGAGGCCAGTAGAGAGTGAATGATTGGAGGTTGCGTTTCTTTTTCGACGTTGACATCAATGTCAAATACATCAAATAGTCAAATAGTGAGTTGATGGCAACTGTTATGACACTTTTACAACTGTTCCAAGCGCCTGAGAGTTGCGACAACGGCGTGCCATGGCTCTTAGTGTCTCTACTTAGGCTGCTTCAATAGGGGGTTTCTTCAGCTTATGTTCAGACTGGGTCAATGCTAATGAAATCCCAACTCAATCCTTGTTCCTCTATGGAAGGTCACAGAATGAACTGGGACAACATTAGGATTTCCGAGGATTTCTGTGGAACCAGCTGGGATTCTTTATCCTCCTCCAGGTGTGTTGTGATCCCAAGGATTGTTCTTCCCAGATCGATTTGCGACTTGACATCTTGCCATGAGAGGGACGGTGGGTACAAAATGATACACGCGATGTCTTGACGGGTCCCCTGCTTTAGGCATGCACATTACTTCGTACTAACTATAGTTTGATGGTGTTAGATATGCAATCAATCCTGCAGCATTCTGACTTCACTGAATTCAAAATTTGCTGCTGTAAATATATCAAAACATGCCATGGTACCCTAATGGTGTTCATTTTTCTCCATCCTCTTGAGGACCCCTTTTGCCCATTGCCCTTGCTCAAATGGTCAGGGATCAAGATGCAGTCCCCTACTGCCCGGCTGTTTTTCAATTGCATTTCGTGTGACTGCCTGGGACAATGTTCCACAACGACTGCTGTGTATGATCTCTCCCCCTCCAAAAAAAACTATATAAATATCGTTCAGACTCATATGAGCCGTCAAAAAGAATAGATCCACTTCTGCATCATGGTTTTCGGGGTGCTTAATACGGGGGGAACTGGATGGGAACATCTATTTTAGGGGCTTCGATTACATGAGACCCGAGTTCAGCAAGTATTGTCTACATACCCAGATGCTCCACGGTGTATGTGTCTTTTGCCTCCAGGAATGGTCCCTCTTCGCAGTCATATAAATCCGCCATACATGGAGCATGTAGTATGACGTGGTAAATCCTCACTTGTATCTACCTGTTTACGTGATTCTATGTGTGTCATTGTATCATGTATATATCATATGTTCCCCACCAAGTCTTTTTCCTTGCTACTTCAGGATCCATTCATTCCAACTGTCCATTGAAAAGTGTCATGGCATGTCCACAGATCCCAGGTGAAACGTTTCCGCAGGGACGGGCGGATGCGCCCCAATTCATTTAAGTCTCCCAGTCTGGCTGGTGGTGTCCGGCTCTTTGGAGGTCTCTCTTTAGGTCTCTTCACTTGTCTCCCTTTTGTTGCTTTCCCAGTGTGCCCTACGGATGTCTTTCGTTACTTGTTCCCTTTCTTTCGTTTCCCAGTTTGCCTAGTAGTGCCCGGCTCTCCAGATGTCTCTCCTAACTTGTGTGCGTAGTGCTGCCCGGCTCTCCGGATGTCTCTCTTCACTTGTCTCCCTTCATTCGTCTCCCAGTCTGGCTGGTGGTGTCCGTCTTTTTGGATGTCGCTCTTTACTTGTCTCTCCTTATTTGCTTCCCGGTAATTATGCCTAGTGCTGCTCGGCTCTCCGGATGTCTCTCTGTACTTGTCCCCGTCATTTGGATCCTTCTTTGGCTGGTGGTGTCTGGCTCTCCGCATGCGTCTCTACTTGTCTCATCTTGTCTCCTTTTTTTTGGCTCCCAGTCTGGCTGGTGGTGTCTGGTTCCTTGGATGTGTCTCTATACTTGTCTCCCTTCTTTTCTCTCCCACTTTGTTCAGTGGTGTCCGGCTCTCCGGATGTCTTTTCTTTGCTTTCACTTGTCTCTCATAATTTGTTTTGAATCATCGTTCTGCCTTTGTGGTGGTTTCCGGCTCTTTCGCCTGTTCGCCTCTGTGTGTCTTCCATCATGTGTCTCTCACCACTTGTCTCCTACTTGATCTGTCTCTGACGTCATTTGTCTCCAATCATATGTTTGCCTTAGTTGTGGTGTCCTGTTCTGGTTTTATCATGATTTCAATCATTTGTGTTTTGTGTTCGTCTCTGTTCTTGAATTTTTTAAATCGGCCTTTGTGTCTTCTTGCTGTCTCAAGATAAATTCATGCTCCACCACGGTGTTATGCGTTTTACCATGTTTTATCACTTATCTCATTTCACACTTGTCTCCTACCTTGTCTCCCTCTTACTGTCTCAGATACAAATGGCGCGGCAAAAAATCGAAACCGCGTGGCATGAGAACATGTTGCCTGTGATTCATTCTGCGCTTAATTGACATGGATGCATGGACCAAGAATTGCCAGCAAAAGGAGCTAGTTGCTAGTTTGACCCCGAACATGCACACAGACGCTGCAATGGATATGGAATAACATGGAATAACTACTGCTTGGGGTCGGGTGTATTTTTGTTCTTTCTACGGACTTATTGCGCCAGCCATTTCGGGTCCATGCTTTTGACCTCCAGCATCGATGGCAGCTGCCGGGCCATGTGTCCAAGGTGAAACCTCTCTACCAAGACCTGCAAACATGGTGTTGTTTAGCTTTTCTGGCTGGCTTGCGTTGGACTTGCCGACATGGACAGATGTCCAAGTACAGCTCCAGGGCCGTGACGGTCTTGTTCAATGTCCCTTGGAGGGTGGCCTAACTCAGTGGTCATAAAATCAAGAACGTCGGTCGGGAAATCAGTCTCGAGGAGAATATATCACGTTCAAAATTGGGCTGGAATCAATGATCGGAGGCAAGGTCCTTCCGTTTGAGGGCAGGTGTGGGGAAATATCCTGGAGAAATATCCAAAAATGAGTTTCTAGCCAAACAGAATATAGTGTTAAGTGGTAAGGTTACTTTACTTCCTGGCAAAATGTTAAAACACCAGTAACATGTCTATTATAGCCGCTCAATTGTTCATCATCATGTCCCCAATTTGCTGGAAATTCATAGAGGCCCCTATGACCCCCCAGCTGCCCCAAGGTTTCCTCTCTCCTCTCTACCCTCCACATCCCCAACGAGTTCTTACCCGCCAGTGCTGTGAGCCGTGCAGCGCACGGTCTCTTCACAGAAGACCCGCTCTTCACAGTGCTGGTCCGATGCGCCTGCCTGCCACTGGCAGTGGTGCTCCACTACCTACGAGAGGAGGGCAGAAATGGGTGTGTCTGAAAATGGGGATACGGGATACCCATGAAAAATCATAGTTTGAGTGGGGACCATCAGCTTTTGGGTAACCTATTCATGACAAACCCAGATTATGAGCTAAGGAAGCACCCGAAGTGGTGGGGATAGGTGGAGCATGGGATTGGGAAGCACCTCCAAAACGGCAAAGTTTGAGGGTTTTGTGGAGAAATGTGAAGGATGCTTGATGTTCATAAGGGTCAATAGTAATTATACCGACGTAATATTCCCATCTTACCTCACTCTTGTAGCTGGCCTAGAATTGTAATTATAGGAAAAAACTTGCAGGAACTTCCTATAGTTGATGGCGGTTGATGGAAAAGCCCATGGTTTCCCGTACATTTTCCCAACAAAACAGCTGGCTTGACAGGACGGTTCAGAGAAATTACTGGGATGCGGCTTGGTGGTTGTGAACGAGTTGATCTCGTGCCTGTGCATGGCATTCACCTTATTGGAAGTGGATGCAGCACTTTGCAAGCAGGACGGGCTGCTTCACACTGCGACAGATGTGCCTCCACAAATGGCAGGATGTGGGGCTTAGGAACTGGCATGTTTATACATTTTTGGTTTTCTGATGTTTTACTGGACAGAATCGTTTTATATAATCTGGGAAATTGAAAGCGAAACAATGTTGGCCACCAACCAAAGTTAAGCCATCTATGTTTTTCCTCGGGTTTGGTTCTAGCCGTGATGCTTGTTTTTCAAGGTTCCCCGACTTTTCGCTGTTTGGAAGCGTTTAACGGTCAATCTTGGAGGGCTACCTTAGCGCGTTGCTTTTTTGGTGCTATTAATGATTATTAATGGATTTTATGGTGAATTTAGTTATACATGCATATATCAACTGCATACATCATATTGGGATATCTGCGTTTTATGTTGACAAATGTTTGGTGATATCAACATGTAGGCCAACTAAACATTAGATAAACTAAACAGTTGATTTGTCTTAATGCAGGTGATTCAATGTTGGCAAAGTTGTGAGCAGCCGTCGTGGAGGAGCTAGCCGCGATGGATTTAGAGAAGCAGATTCAGAAACGAGAGATGGACATGAAAGAGACAGAGAAGGCGCCTGGCTAATGGTTTCCTCAATTTATCACCCAGAAATTCTGCTTTTCACAGGAAAACCCTATGGGGGTTTTGGGCGAAACAGCCATGGGCTATTTTGGTCACCCAGCTGGACGGCGACCCCAGTTTTCCCAGTTTTTTCACAGGATTTCCAGTTTCTGCGGGGTTCAACAGAAACGTCTTCCTGTGTGGGAACATGTTGAAACATGATCCCGATAGTCGAATTTTCTATGGTTTTCTACTTGCCTTCTGTTCATGTTCCATTTAGATTCACCCCCCTACTAATTATCATTGTACAATATTCTGGGCAAATTATAGTGACCTCACTTTTCTCCCTCACTGGAATCATGGTTAGGAGGGGGAATTGTCCCAATGAAGCCTTGTTTCAGGTTTGGTGAATCATTTTTGCCCAGATTGATGGATTATTACCCTCTGGTTATTTAACATAGCTATGGCTATGGAAAATCACCATTTTTAATGGGAAAACTCACTATAAATGGCAATTTTCCATAGCTATGTTAGTTTCCCAGAGGGTAACCATGATTAACATCCCCCATGTATAGCTCACTATAAAGTGGACATCCTTTGCGCTTATAAAGTGGGTTTCCGGTCGCCACTTTATATACCGACAATGGGGGATAAAGCCGTGTTTTGCGCGAGAAACATGCCCTTGGACCTGGAAGATGACTTTATAGCAACGTTGGCTTTCCAGTTTATACCCGGCTGGTTCCCCACAAGGAAACGACTCAATATATGCGGCAATGCATTTTATAGACCGTTGGTTCCCTTCAAAGAATGGCCATAATATGTCACACCATCCACTTTATAGAAACATGTCTCCCCAATGATTTCGGGCCAATATCTTTCTGTTGGGGCTGTATACATGGCAAAGCACTTTATAGAGTGAAAATTGCCCTTTAAGAAGAAGAATTTGTGCTGCATCCAGGGCACTTTATAGAAAGAAAATTGCGGCAGAGCATTTTATAGAGTCATGAGATACATCACCCAAATCACTTTATAGAGCTGCCCAGGACCCCATTCACCCTGAGGACCCCATTCACCCTGAGGACCCCTTTCAAGGGAAATCTTCTTCTCTATAAAGTGGCCAGTCCAGGTAAAACCCCTGAAAAAACAGAATCTATGTTGGACTGGCCACTTTATACCCCCTCCCCAAACAGAGAATGCCTCTATAAAGTGGCCAGTCCAGGTAAAAACCCCTGAAAAAACAGAATCTATGTTGGACTGGCCACTTTATACCCCCTCCCCCAACAGAGAATGCCTCTATAAAGTGGCCAGTCCAGGTAAAACCCCTGAAAAAACAGAATTATTACCTGGATGGCCACTTTATACCCCCTCCCCCAACAGAGAATGCCTCTATAAAGTGGCCAGTCCAGGTAAAACCCCTGAAAAAACAGAATCTATGTTGGACTGGCCACTTTATACCCCCTCCCCCAACAGAGAATGCCTCTATAAAGTGGCCAGTCCAGGTAAAACCCCTGAAAAAAACACATTTTTACCTGGAATGGCCACTTTATACCCCAGCCAGTGGGCTCCAGGACTTTGACCCGGAAACGGAAGGGCTGACAACAAGGTAAAGGGGGAAAACTACAACGGAGAGGTACAACGGGAAGGCTACCACAAGAAAATGAGACATGTCACGTTTATATACGTTTATTGTTTTCAATGTGTCATATAGATTGGCGATGATTGGTATATTGAATATGTTGTAGATGTATTTTGGAACATATGTATACCTATGATTCACACATCAATATAAATATATATATAAATCATAAACACATGCCAAACCAAAAACTTTTAGCTGAGTATTGTATTCCCAATCTGTTGGCAAATGTCCAGCCGATTCACCATGCGTCCTAGGTGTCAAAATTGGAGCCATTTTGGCGCGCGCGCGCGCGCGGCGCGACCAGGACCCCTTTCACCCCAAGGACCCCTTTCAAAGGAAAGTGTGTTAGAGGCATTCTCTGTTGGGGGAGGGGGTATAAAGTGGCCAGTCCAACATAGATTTTGTTTTACCATAGATTCTGTTAACGACTTCGATATAGATATTTGTCTGGCTGTCGGTTTCGTTCGGTTTCGAAGTCATTCGAAGTCTTTTGGGTTCCCCATCGATGAGATCGATGATATTCCCCCAAGGTTTGAACGTGGCCCCTCAACTTTATAGACAATCACGTCGATGCTGCCATCGTCGCGATTAAGAAAATCATCGCTACTACAACGATCGTTGTTTAGCCGGAAATCCACATTATAGTGCCACTGTTCTGCACAAGTATTACTATCTGGATGTTCGGCATCTCACTTTATAGTCATGGGACATGTTCACAAGTACCCTCAAAAACCTGCATCGAGTTTTATGTTTTTACGCGGCCAGGCGACTTTATACAAACGTTGGATTTTGACTTTATAGACAAAACATGTTGGCTTTCCACTTTATAGACTCCAGACATGTGGCCATTCCAGTTTATACCAGGCTATTCTCTATAAAGTCGGCCGCAAAGCATCTAGCGGGCTATACATGGGGGATTGATTAACTATTTTTTCCATTATCAACCACTGTTAACCACCATGGATGTCCTTTTCCCATTGGTTGGTTGATGAAAATAGAGGGGTTTCTTCAGAAACCCCTTTAACAACAGCTAAATGATGATAGATGGTATACCAGCTCCCGGCCCCTCTATTTTTACCAAAAGGACATTATTGTTAACCACTATTAACCATGATTTACCATTATTAACAACTATTATTAACAATTATTAATCACTATTAAGTATTACTAACTATTATTAACTATGATTAACCATCATTAATCACTATTAATCACTATTAACGAGTAATGCTTGATGTACTGGATTCTCAAGTGAACTCTGCCGGCCTGCCAGGTGCTCCGAGCGGCCCGCAGACTCTTGTCGGTAACATGTGTCTCGGTGCAACAGCAGGATCGTAGATTCGAAAAACATTCACTATAGCTATAGCTATCTGGTTGGTGGTTTGGAACATTTTTTTCATATATTGGGAATAATAAGCCCAACTGACTAATATTTTTTTCACTATTCTATTCACTAATTTATTATACGCAATTATACACGGCCAAATCCCATGAAATACATCACTAATTATATACACTACACTATATGATTACAATTTATTATCACAACATATTACAACATTATAATTTTCACTGTCATATAATCCCATCCCCTGCAACATCCTTTCGCTACCTCTTTAGAGGCACCAGGTGTGTCTGAAAATGGAGGCCTCCAAATATGGCGATTTGAAACTAATCATGCTTGATATGCGATGCTTGATGAGCCACTGGATTTGGGGAACCCGATTTTGAGAGAAACCCGCATAATTAGGTATGCATAGGTTGTATTTCCGATGTGTCCTTTGAGATTTTGAGGTTGGGGTAGATTTTGACAGCAAAACTCTCCTGTCAGGCGACTGCTGTGAGCGCCTCACACACGACTGGCAGATTGTTGAGCCTTCACGGGGCATTTTGGACCTTCTGCGCCTGAAGGAAGACGTACCTGGGCAGGGTATGGTCCATGGTGGTTCACAAATTCGTCAAGGACCTGGGGGAAGCACTGGCAACAAAACTAAGAATTTGTGGGATGGTGATCACTATATCATACTAAATCCAGCACTAGCGGCAGATATGAAGGATGAGGGAACGCACGAACATGGTGGCGGGATATCAACGCACGAACATGCTTTCTTCCCCCGCAAAAAAAGAACTGGAGACACTGGTTATTAGACCATGACTTAGTATTAAAACCCACGGTGACATATGGTGACTTGGGGTACCCCCATTTTAGGAAACCCCATGTCATCATGTATATTTGCAGGGGTGCATGTTGAACATCTACAAGGCAAACATCGACTGAATGAAGTGCCTTGGCACTTGCGCTCTTTCCCATTCGCAGGCATCGGCGAAGCTCTTGCCCTTTCTGCAGTTCATTTGTCCTGAAGACCAGCAGCGTTTCGCCCACTTCGCGGCTGTGTCGCACACCACGGATGCGCCATCCTCGTTGCACGTTCGCATGACGAGTGGTAGCGATGGCAGTCTCTTTGATGCCCAAATCTTCTTGGTGAATCTACCTGGCACACTGGACAACTGGATTTGCTGAAGATTACTTTTATTTAATGTAATTTCATGTAATATCCGTGTCCACATATTTCCATCATGTTTTCTAGAATCCACCTACCTAGTGGGGAAATTTGCACATATGTCCACCATTTTTTAGAATCCACGTAGTTACCTAGTTGGGAAATTTGCACATATGTCCACCATTTTTTATATTGGGAACTTTGGTATTGGTATAGGGCCATAGAAATGTTGTTCAGTCATGTTTTCCTTGGGTGTGCGTTTGCCTTCAGTAAAGTCAAGGAAAACAAGAACGAGCCTGAGTATCTCATTGGGATTGCCGCCATTCAAACGCAAGAACCCAGCCAGAGCATGGTCAGCGACTTGCCTGAAAACAGTGGTTCAAACGATCTTGAGTCACTTTAGTCTTCCAGTCGCATTTCTTGAAACCTGAGTTTTACAGAGCACCCACGGCTGGGAAGTGGTTTTTTCCAGTCGTGTTTTCTCCCAGGTTCTGATCGACTTCCTGGGCCAATGCCATGGTCACCATCCCCAATTCGGCTTTATGACATGGGAAAAACACATGCTATGCCTTTACTTGGGATGATTTATAATATTAGTTTCTTAGTATTTAATATTAATAGCTGCCAGTCATGTGATTTCTGGTCTTTCTGGTCTTTTAGCACCACAAAAATCTCAGACTCCACCGAGCCCCAGGCATTCCGGAGCATCGCCCGTTGGCCTCGTCCGCTTCTTTCGACGCGCGCGCCCAACGCAAGCCGAGCCGCAGCGCAGCCAGCAGTGCGAGCAGCCGCAGGAGTTCCAGTAGCGGTGCTTCCATGGTGAATGTCGAGACACTCGCAGAAGCGCACCAGGTGACTAGGATGAACATGATTGAACATGCATTTTTTGGAATTCTCCATATGATGATTAGGTAATCACGTGATATGTTTATGATACTTATTATGTATTTTTTGCAATTGAACATGCAAATGGCTATGATACAGTACATTATATAAACTACAATCGCCAGATTAAACAGACATGTTGTAGGGTGTGTATATATATTGATATATATATACACATTATTATACACGTATATTATTGTATTCATATACATACTTTACCATGCCATGCCATGCCGTGCCGTGCCGTGCCGTGCCATGCCATGCCATGCCGTGCCATACATGCATACATACATACATACATAAATACATACATATGTACGTACGTACGTACATACATACATACATACTGACAGACAGACAGACAGACAGGCAGACAGGCAGACAGGCAGACAGGCAGACAGGCAGACAGGCAGACAGGCAGACAGGCAGACAGGCAGACAGGCAGACAGAGATAGACAGAGACAGACAGAGACAGACAGAGACAGACAGAGACAGACAGAGACAGACAGAGACAGACAGAGATAGACAGAGATAGACAGAGATAGACAGAGACAGGCAGAGACAGACAGAGACAGACAGAGACAGACAGAGACAGACAGAGACAGACAGAGACAGACAGAGACAGACAGAGACAGACAGAGACAGACAGAGACAGACAGAGGCAGACAGACAGACAGACATCCATGCATACATGCATACATAACATAACAGACATCCATGCATACATGCATACATAACATAACATAACATAACTTAACTTAACATAACATAACTTAACATAACATAACATACATATACATACTTACATATACATACATACATACATACATACATACTTACATACATCCATACATCCATACATCCATACATCCATACATTCCATACATTCCATCCATCCATCCATCCATCCATACATGCATGCATACATGCATGCATACATGCATACATACATACACACACATACATACATACACACACATACATACATGCATGCATGCATGCATACATACATACATAATCATACATACATACATAGATACATACATTCATACATAGATACATACATAGATACAGAGATACATAGTCATACATAGTCATACATAGTCATACATAGTCATACATAGTCATACATAGTCATACATAGTCATACATAGATACATAGATACATAGATACATAGTCATACATAGATACATACATACATACACACACATACACACATACATACATAGACATACATACATACATACATACACATACATACATACATAGGTACGTAGATAGATAGATAGATAGATAGAGAGAGAGATAGATAGATAGATACATACATACACAATCATACATACATACATACATACATACATACATAACCATACATAATCATACATAATCATACATAATCATACATAATCATACATAATCATACATAATCATACATAATCATACATAATCATACATAATCATACATAATCATACACACACATACATACATACATACATACATACATACAGACACACACACACACACATATATATATATTATATACATATACGGTTGGCTATGTCCAAAAACGTACCGTGACAGTATGACGGTCGCTTGGGGATAGAAGTAAGTACAAGATGTATACTGTACATACACCACTCAATTCCTGCGTCTTTCGGCAGCATGTTGAATTCGGACAATCTTGATATAGGAAACGAATTGATTTGGGGGGTCCTACCCATTTTCGTTTAATCATGCTTTAATCATGATGACTATACGGATGGTTCCTGGTTGCCATGTATTGTTCTTATTCATCTCCTACCTGCGGGCAAGATGTTCTTTTCAGCTTAAGGGTTGTCTTGTTCCTTGGGCGGGTTGGAAGAAATAGAGTTGTTGGGTTCAATGGCTCACCCATATCCATTGTTCATTGGTTAAATCTCAATTTTGATGGTGGAATCCACTCTTTGGCTTTTTAAATTTCAATTTTTGAGTGGCTGGTTGACAATATAAAACCTAGATAACTAGATACGCCGGGGAAACTTAACGTAGCACCGGAGGACAAAAAACCAAGATATTAACATAGCCCCCGTTCATCGAAGACTCCTGGGGAAGTCATATATACTGGATGATGCTGAAAGCTGCCAACATCCTATCCAACTCACCTTAACCTGACACCTGGGCAGGCCTTTCCAGACCACATCAATTAAACATGAACCATCCAAAAAACCTGATTTCACATTAACATGGCCTAAAAAATGCAAACAGTGAGTGTGTCCCACAGGTTCCATGTTAAAGTGCCGCGCCTTTTTTTCCCGTACTCCCCTTTCCGGGTTTGCGCAACATCTTCTACGATCCACTCAGCCGAAGACACCCTTGACTTTAACATGAAACATGTAATGCTATTCCAGGTTTTAAACTTGAGCAGTGAAACACAAAAAGACTGTAAACTAGAGCAATTTTAACGTGGAACGTTAACATGCCTCACCCCACCCCAACCCCAGGGCTGCGTAGCATCCACAACGCATGCAAGTTACATGAAACGTAACATGCCCTATCCCACCCCAACCCCAGGGCTGCGTAGCATCCACAACGCATGCAACTTACATGAAACGTTAACATGCCCTATCCCACCCCAACCCCAGGGTTGCGTAGCATCCACAATCTTTCAATTCCCCATGAATTCATACTGTTCAATGGCCAAAATTCGAAAAGTGCTATGTTAATTTAAATTTCCTTCCAAAACCTTAAGGTTCTTGGGGATTCCTGGGGAACGACTGAAAAAAATGAGAACAACAAAAGCAAAATCAGACTTGTCTTTCCTCCTTATTCCATGTTAACGAAGCACCTGAGACAGTGTTTTTTTGGTATGTTAACATGGTCCGTGATTTTTTTCTTTTTTTTAGTTACGTTAAATTTACCCGGCGTATCCATCCACCAAAAACCCTAGTTGCATATGGGAGTTGTGTTGACTCAAACAAACAGAGGGAGGGGCAGGAAGCTTGGTAGCTGCAGCATCGAGGCCCTGCATGCAATTGACCAGATCTCCCTGCTGATTGATTTGAATACCGTCGCGCAAGGCTGGGAGTTCCCGCGGGACCGGGAGGTAAGGGAAACTGCCCCAAGAAATGGAGAACTGGCATGTTTCATATGGCTATGGGTCAATACCTATTAATACAATTTTTAGTGGGATGAACATCCATTTACCAGCTATTTTGATGTTCACCAGGGGTACAAGGTTTTGACCCATCCCCATATAATTTTCCAAGATCAGTGTTCCGGAACTTGTTGGGCTAGTTGTGCCAAGTTTGGTTATTGTCCCCCATGTTTGAGGGTTGTCAAATTTTGACATCAATGTTTGGACCATGGATAAATTTGACTAATTTTGTCAACTTGTACCGTGATGTTTCTAGGATCATAAGTTCCAAGATATCCATAGATATCCCACTTCTATCCAGTTTGTGTTTCACTAATCTGAACTTCGGGGCCCTCTTTGAATCCTTGGGGAGGCTACTGCATCCGTTCCGCCCAGTTTCTCCTCAAGGAATCAGCAGGTTTGGATGTGCTGCCCAAGCTGTACAGCTGGGTACGGCAGCAGCACCAGCCCACGGTGGAAGATTGGATCCAGGAGCATGTCCCTGGCCTTGTGGTTGCCGAATCCCCGTGGAGGTTTTTAGTTTATAGCTGAGAAACTCATCGAACTTTTTTTGGAGGATTAAACATGGCACGCCATGTTTGATTAGCGATAAACCTTTCGGCCTCTGGAGGTTTTCTTTTTTGGTGAAGATGATGCCACTTGAATTCGTTGCTGTTTGTGGGGAGGATCTGTTGAAACCACTGAGCCGTCCCACTGAGCCTTCAGATGCCTTCAGGGCACGCTGCAGAGACAAATCCTTTCCTAAACAAGTTTATCTACACTTTTCTTGTGACATCTTGTGACCTTCTGTGGTAATTCTATGCATATAATTCTGAGACCCTGCATCTCATGTTGATTTTAAGAAACTTGATGATATTTGGAACGACGCAGGTGAAATCCAACAATCTGAAAAAAATGCTCCCTGGTTTAAAATGTCTCAGAGCAAGGAGCTCACCCACCTCCCCCAACACAAAACATGTCTAACAAAGAGGGAAATGCAATGAACACCAACATCGTCATCAACTTCATTTTCACCAGAATCAGGACCATTCATCACGCTCTAAAATTATGACGTACCAAAACCTAATAATGGCCCACTTAGTGGCCAAGATGTTCTTTCCATTCCCAACAGGGGCCCTGCCAAGATCGGGGTTGCAAGATTCGGTCGATCCAACGTATTCCAACCAGCCCTGCTCCGGAGACTTCTTCTGAACTTTAGTCCGGCCGCCCAGAGAAATTTTGGGGCCGTGCAGTTGGGGAGTTGGGCAGAAACGTGCTTGAAATATGGAAGTTTCCTAAGATGGGGGCACCCCAATAGCTGGATGGCTGATCATGGAAAAGCCTATTACAATGGATGAGGGTAGCCCTTTTTTAGAAAACTCCAGATGTTGAAATGGGGTTCAACCATGTTGAAGCCACCAGCTCCAAGCCTCTAAGCCAACAAAGAGACACTCAGAGAACGGGCCGTTGGCTGGACCTAGCCGCATGCTCGAGGCTGACACAGGACGCGGCTTTGACCGACCGGGGTTTTCGCCATGTCTGGTGCAGTGCTCATTGACAAGGTCAGCAACTGTGCTCATCACACAAGTCAGCTCATGGGACACCAGGAGCTAGCCATGGATATTGAAGGAATCAACCTGTGCCGCACGGGTCGCATTGCTTTGATCCAGCTGTGCACCAAGAGTGGTGAGGTCTTCTTGTTCGATATCGCTGTCTTGGGCCAAGATGCATTTGACAAGGGCGGTCTGCGAGCTGTTTTGGAATCTGAGCAGATCTGCAAGGTCATCTTCGATGGCAGAGCAGATGCGGATGCTCTCTACCACCAGTTCCATGTCCAGATCCGGCACGCGTTTGATCTGCAGGTTCAACATGCCCTTCGCTTCAGCAACAGCAACGATCGCTATGTGAAGGGTCTCAAAAAGTGCCTGAGCGATGCCAATGTGGTCCCACTGATGGAACGAGAGTGTCTCGAAGCCCTTAAAGAGGAAGGACTGCGGCTATTTGCCCCAGAAAAGGGAGGTCGCTATGAGGTGTGGATGGAACGCCCGCTCAACCAGGCCTGGCATAGTTGAACTGCCTCGCAATGGCGTAGTCTGCAAGAAGTAGCTCATGCTACATGGAATTGTTGTAGCATATTGTGACCTATGGTAGCATAGGGCGTTCTAGCTATAATGCTGGTGTGCTGCTCGGTGTGCAGACAAGCAATGCATTGAACACAGCCCGTTTCTAAACATTGGCATCGCCAAAAAGAAAACAGAACCACCCCCACTCTTTCCGCACCTGGCCTGAAGGCTTTGGTGGACTATGCAGCTGCTGATGTCAAGTACCTGCTTTCCATGAAGGCCATATGGCATGCCTCCCAAGACGTTTTGCAGCTGACCCGGGATCGGCTGCAAGGTGCAGTCCAGGCCGCCGTCCCAGCAAAAGGTCAGCACATGAGCGTGCGCGACTTTTCGCTGGGTCAGCATCCACAATACCTTGGCAGAGAGGCCGTGTCACAGAAGAGGCGCATCATGGGTGGCACTGGGCCAATGAAAAGGTCCCGCCCCATGGGAGGAAGCAACCGGTTTGGGCTTGATGATGACCTTGATGACATTTGTGACCCATTCGATGGTTTCTTCGGCTATGGAAGTGACTGACAGAGGCTTCTGTCTTCCACTCACTTCTCCTGAAGATGCACGACACTCCGTCAGTGTATATTTGCACCGGCAGTATGCACTTTGTTTTGTTCCCAGAAAAGGAGGGTGTTGCAGCCATGGTTTTGAATGAGTAGCAATGGAAATCATTTTAAAAGTGTGCGTCCATTCGGCCCACTTCTTTTCAACGGCTGGAACTTCAAATTGTATAGCGCCAGATGGGCTTCTTTGAGGACTCTCGGCTGTAGGTGCTAGGGCTACCTTTGCGGAAATGCACGATGCACTTGTGCAAGGGCCAAAAGTTGCCGGGAAGGGATGCTGGACCATGCCGGACCCGACGGTGATCTTAGTTTCATCATGTCCTGGTCATCACGCCACCAACACTCTCTTGAAGGGCGGCTTTGTCCACTGCGTCCTGAGGTTAGGACATCATTGTGAGCGATGTGAAGGAAGAGGTTCAACAACAGGGCGGTGCAAGTAATGAAGATACCAGATAATTTCATGTAATTTAATATTTATCATAACTTCTCCACGTGCAAATTTATTCTCATGACTCGTAGGATTTGCATGGGTTTACTTGGGTTTGCTTTGTAGATTCTTGGAAGTTTCTTGTGGCTGCAAGTGCCAGGGAAGGATACACTAAAACGGCCAAAAACCACAGCCACTATCAGCCACTCTGCAGGTCTGCATAGTTGGTTGCGCTTAGGATTGATATTGGAAACGAATGACAAAGGAACATATTAATGTCCCCATGCAATCCCATGCAGGAGTTTCAACTCTGAATGAACCGCCAGCAGACTACAAGTCGCACATAGAGTGAATGGATAGGAAATGGACAAACGATGACACATGAACAGACTGATGTAATGTATGTATTTGTATGTGAAAATGTGCGAATCTTTGGGAGTTTGGGTGTGTTTCCTGATGAAGAAGAAAAATAACTGTGCTCAGCATGCTTTAGCAACCTTTTGGCTTTTCTTTCACAAACTGAAAAACAACTTTGCGTGTAATATGTTTATTAAAGCGTTGCTTACAGATTCCTTGATTAAATGTTGAGAACTACATATAAATACATCGATACAGACTTCGGAAAATAGGTACCAGGACAATCTAGGACATCAGGTCATGATCTCAAGCAAAAGTCATCTTATGACTGCATAGTCTCAAGTCTAAACTATGGCATACCCACACAAACCTGTTGCGTGTTGGGTGCAAGTGGTTGGTTTTTCTTCGTATTTTACGTGTAATAAAATTTAAATGCAAAAGGCTTCCTCAGAGAAATCACATTTTTTTAATGGGCTTTAATTTCAAACATGAACTGACCACACCAGCCAAAACACAAACCTGAACAACCTTACTTCTCACTCAGATGGCGCGTCAAAATCTTCACAATGATTCAAAGTGACCACTTTGGGATGTCTCATTATGCGAAAGAATATTAGATTACCCATTTGATCCCATTTGTACATGCATGTTGGTCCCCCTTTTTGGGCCATTCGCAGATGATGAAAAGCGATGAAAGACCCCCTTGTTCCAACGCAGTACCTCACCCAAAGACTTGACACTAGCCCCGCCCCAAACAATTTCAAGTTTGGTGATGCCAGCGAAATTTCCGACCTTTTTGCAGGTAAACCCATGGTGAAACATGGTAAACCCATGGTAAATGAACCAACCCTTCCCGCGAGTTGCCCGAAGATTGAGGTGAACGGCTGGTACGCCACGGGCAGCTGCCACTCGGACGAAACATGCCGAGGCATCAAGTGCCGAGTTGCCGGCACACAGGCGAGGTTTGATCCCCGTGGCTGGGTAATCCCCGCACCAAATGGAGGTTTGAAGGGGATTTTTTCATGGAAAGATATCAGAACTGGTTGGTGGTTTGGAACATTTGGATTTTATTTTTCCATATTTGGAGAATTTCATCATCCCAACTGACGAACTCCATGATTTTTCAGAGGGGTAGGGCTCAACCACCAACCAGAGAACATCCACCATTCTTGGAGCTTTAATTGGGAAAGTTACCAATGATGGGATTTTCATGCCATGCTTGATTAGAAGGTACCTCACAATGCAATTTTAATGGAAAAATGATCGTAGGCACCATTTGAGTGTGCTGTTCAGCCAAAGCCCATCGATTGGAAAGGTCAAATAATACATTATCTGGATATAGATCTAGATATTCAGTGTATATCCCCAAATGGGACCGTTAGCACTACGTATAATAAAATTGCCAAAATGCTTGGTTCCCATGATGGCTCACCCAGCTTGGCAGGTGGGCTTTTTGGTTGGTGAGTTATCCAATCAAGGCATTGCTTGCAAAGGTTTGGGGCCGGAAGAACCATGGCAGCAGGGCGCTTCGGGGGTAAGAGGAAGCAGGTTGGTGGGCAAACTTTGGTTAAGTAATTTGAATGAATGGGAAGTGACTGGTGGAGAGAGAGAGAGAGAGAGATAGAGAGATGGAGTTTAATGTTGGGATGCGATTCGACTTTTTGAGAGAGGTATTGGCAACTTACTGGGGATGTTGATAGCCAATCCACGAATTTTGGTTGTTCCAGTGGCTTTGAGTCGGCCTAAAGGCGCCACAAACCGTCCATTGTGTCCATTGGGCAAGCCGCCGCAGCCAGGATGACTACTCGCTCATCATGAAAATCAACCTACGACAGCTCCATCCGGCTTAGCCCAGGAATTCCGTCGGGGTGGTCGACGACCATCAGGAAAGACTGGGCCCATCACCCAAGGAGTTGCAGGTTGCTAAACTCTTGAGACAATTGCTAATGGTCAAGCTTCTCCAATTGCTTTCTTCGAGCGATCCTCAATTTGAAACACTATTCTGACAGAATTTCTGACAGACCATCTGGAAGCTTTTATGGCATATATATTTATTCTGACATTCTTATCTGGCATTCCTTCTGGCATATATATATATATACGTATATATATATAATAATAATAGTTATTATTTTATTTTTGTTTTATTATTATTATTTTCTTTTATTTTTATTATGTATATATATATATATATATATTTGGCATTCTATCTGGCATCTATTCTGACATACTTTCTGGCATTTTATTTGACATTCTATTCTCGCATTCTATCTTGCATCTTTTCAGGCATTCATTTTGGAATTCTTTCTGGCATCTATTCTGACATTCTCCCTGACATTCTTTCTGACTTTTTTTCTGGCATTCTATCTGACATTCTCTTTGGCGTCTGGCTGGGGTCCGGCAGTGCCCACTGAGATCTGGAGCTCGCGGTTGAGGACGAAGAGGAGAAGAGGAGGAGAAGAGGAGAAGAGGAGGCGGGGAAAGTCTATGATACAGTCTAGGGACCCTCACCTGGCAGGTGGGGCAAAACCAGATTATTCAAACCTGTAGGTTCTTTTTGGGTCTTTAGCCACGTTGAAGCTGGAATTCCGCGACCTTTGCCGTGTTTTTTTTCTCATTTTAACCTCCAGAAACTGTTTTCTACAGATTAGAAAACATTCTTTTGCTGCAGGTAGATTTCCCAATGCCAGGTTAGGTTACCCGAGGGTAGATCATGCTGTGCAAACCCAGTCTCCACCCCAGCGGCCTGGGACGTATTTTTCTTTTCCTCAGCATCCTGACCACACCGCGTGGGGCAGCCGAAAACAAGAGCGCAGCTGATGCCGGAGACGCAACGGCCTTGCAGCACCTGTTGGTTATAAACATGCGCACGCTCGCACACACGCACAGACACATGATGACACATCAATGTTATGAATGTGTTTGTCTATGTCTTTATATTTGCATGCTAGCACTGCTCGCTCACAATTCCTGAGGATACCCAAATGATCCATAATCTGATTGAGAAGAGCTTTTGACTGATTTCTTGAGAAGATCTATCTGTAGTATGTAGTAGATCCGCAAAAATGGGTTTCGTCAAAACTGGCCATCCCTACGTTGGATGAGAAATGGTGGAACATAATTATTGTGGACATCATGGGCCTTCAGTTCTCGAGCCAAATACTTAATGGACAGCCCCATGGTCCGACTTTTTCCAATGGCTGGTGGATGCATCATACAGGGGTAAAATTATTGAACACGTGTTAATCGCCTTATTTGTGCCCAGAGCCACTAGATCACTGTACTAAAAACCAGGCTTTCTCATGGTTTCTTTGCGATATTTATTGGGGCAAGGGATTATTGCATGGCATACTGGCCCTGGCTTTTTCCTGTCATTCACTTCAGCACACCATTGTCGGTCGTGTCGTGCACGCTTTCGTTGCTGCATCCCATTTTGGTATAGATGAAATTATGACACAGATGACGACCTCATAACAGCTTGACCATAGATGTTGGTAAGGGAATCTCAAGCAGCGGTTTGTTTCCGATGTATGAATTGTCGCGTGCGGCGCCGCTCCTCAGCCGGCCACGGGCGCTGGTTTGGGTCGGGGTCCAAAACGTGCGGATCGTGTTGCGCTCAGGACATATCTGCGCAATGTGGGATCCACAATGGGCGTTCCCCCGACCTAAGATTTTTTCTATCCTTCAGGTGGTTGATCATTGGAGGGGTGCTGTTTCAATGATTGGTAGCAATGGTTTTGACTATATCGTATGATGAATGCAGGATTTGAATGGATTTGAGTTATATGAGTTATGAAGTGCGCATCACTACTTTCAGGTTGAGGTCAGATCTGGAAGGGTTTAACCAGGTTATTTTTTCTATAGTGTTTGGAGACTGTTGGTACTGTTGGTTTGTTCCATTCTAGTTTGGTGACTCTTATCTCAGAAATTGCATGTTTCACAGTCCAACCCTTTTTTTTTGCGTCGTTTGGCGCGCACAACAGATGGAGCATGTTGACCAGACATATTGTGAATTCCGCCATAACCTTGATATCAGCAAGGAATCCACGGGAGATCTAGTGCGAAGGTAGATTTCCCACCTTGCCTTGGACTACTGCATACATATTTCTGATATCACACTGTACAAGGTGGGCAACCACCCTAGGCAATTTGGTGTATTTTTTCATGACTTTGCAAGATGAGAACTGCTTCGTTTCAAGCATGTATGATTGTTACATATTTTATACTTTTGCCAATGACGACGACACAGCATTTTCAATGAAGAGATGGTGACATTGATATCACAGCATCAACTATGAGAACTGTGTTTTCCTGTGATTTAAAACTCACAGATCCAATGTTTTTGCGCACGCTGAGGGTCCCCTATTCTGTTCACAAAAAGGACATAAAAGGGTTCATGTTGGATTGATTCATCATTCATGTTTACCGCCCTTGGAAAGGTTGAACAAGTTGAACAAAACCAGCTTTCAAATGTGCCCCAGCACCAAGGGCGTCCATCGCCATGGCGACCAAACCGGGGCAATGGATGGTTGTAAGCTCAGGGCCAGCAAAACGGGGCGGTTCCTTGCGAATCTTCCGCAATGCTGGGATGATTGCCAGGAAATGACAATTATGAAAAGTTTGCAGGAAACCATTCATCTTAACGTAAAACAATGGTTTCCTGCAGATGTTTTCTTTAACCAATCCACTGAAAAGAGGCAAAGAAGAGCTCTTCAAAACATACAAGCAGGGCTGCCCCAAGTATGATCGTTTCCCTTACCACAATAACCGCCACAGATTTCCAATGGCTGCCCTTTAGATGGACTTTGATGGGCTTTCGGAGCTTCCATTTACCAAGACTATTCCATCCACGATGATGCCGGAAATAGTTGAAATCTCTTGTTGATCTTGCTGTCCCGCTTGCATGTATAAATGCACATCGCGCAAGTACGTTGCAAGTACGTTGCAAGTATGCAATCATGCGCGTACACAAAGACACAGTGACACAACCACGTATACAACTGGCATTCCACAACGTGATTTGTGTACAGTAAAGATATGTATATATCATACACGTATTGCATCATGTAGAATACCATTTGATTTTTTAGCAATTCATAAACATAAGTTTATGGTATACAACCGTATATACAAATGATATACAAAGATAGTATGTGAGCATATTAACAAATAATATAAATATATATATTATATCAACATGTACACGTGCATCCATTCATCTTCTACAACCATGTTGTGTCCGTCGCCACGAGAAGCCAAGGAAATTCGTGTTTCACGACACATTTGGCCGCAGCACGGCCCATGATTTTTTTGTGGGTCCATGGCATCTCCATCTTGAGATCATTTGAGTTCAAGAAACATTGGATTTACTCGGTACACCCCAAAATGTATGGCAACTTCGGGGAAAATGATGATGAACCCATTGAAAGTGGGGTACCCCATTTTTGGATAAGTGCATCTAAAATATCATGATCACTGACATTTTCCCATTTCGAGCTGATTGGGCAGATTCCTCCAAAGACAATTGGAACAAAACATACAAGGTTTTGTCGGTTAGGATGTTCGGGACTGATACAGCTGCGTCACAACTTTCACACTTCAACTTTGTCTTGAGTCTCATCAATCACCATCAATCACCATCAATCATCATCAATCATCATCAATCATCCTCAATCATCATCCATTATCATACATCATCATCAATCATCAATCATCAATCATCAATCATCAATTATCATCATCATCATCATCATCAATAATCCTAAATGAAACCCATACGAATCATTCCCAATCCTCAAAAACAAATTAAAAACAATAGATATAATTAGCTCCTTGTGCCTCACCATTGACCTGAGGTGACGGTGACGATCTCGGGAAGCAACCGCTTGGGAGTCGATGCCGATTGGAGCGACGGCAAGACGCTGTACATCAAGGCTGTTTCCTCTGGAAAACCTGGTTTGTCCAAAATAAACATGTGAAGTTTCTGTAGGGCATATGGGATCAAATATGGTTAGGAATTTACTGCTATGATGTATTTGCTGCGTTGCATCTGGATTCTTAGTTACCATTTCACATTATTTCAGTGCTTACTTCGCATCCACCTTGAATTCCAAACATGATCCCAGCATGCGCGCCATGGTCAAAATTTTGCATAATTTGATTGTGCAAAAGGGTTCATGTGCATGCATGTACAACTGGACAGATGTAGTATCAGTTCTTATCACTGCTGGACAGGTGAAGTATCTGTTCTTATCAGTGCAACAACCTGACAACCTGCCTGTGTATGGGCAGGCTCTTTATGGTTCAAAAGTCGCGCTGCTCTGCCTAACACAGGTTATCAGCCCAACGCTCAGCTGAGGGGCGCCTGCCATGTCGTGGACTAGGTCGTGTTCGGTGCCACGTGGTGGAAGTGGACCTCGTGCTCTACGGCTGGATCAAGAAGGCCAAGAAGGGCATGGAAGAGACCGAGCTGGACATGACGGCAGAGACCTTCGGCGTGGAGATGAAAGAGCTCTACCCAATGGCAGTGATGGTCAAGGTGGAGGACGAGCTCTACTACGAGGCGAACATGGAGGGGCTCTACGGCAAGAACTGGACGTGAGCACTGACCTGTTGGACTTAGGCACCGAGCCGAATCCGTGGTGGTCAGAGGTGGTTCAACGAGAACACCTACAAGAAGCACGTCAGTTGGCCATGGAGCAGCCGATGTGGACGCCAAGGGAAGAGGTCTCAGTCAAGGAGGACCTTCCGGAGATAGAAGATGCAGACGCGTCGCGAGAGTTGGAGCCGCTGGCAATGGGACGAATGAGTGCTCCGTCGAGTTGGAGTACAAGACGAGGTGTGGCCTTGCAGACTCAAGGGGCTATGCCATCAAATGATGATGAAGACCTTCGGCATCCTCAAGATGTTGGACAAGGTCGACATGCAGTACACCCTCAAGGTGTGGACCGACAGTATCCTCAAGATGCTGGACAAGGTCAAGACCTTCGGTATCCTCAAGATGCTGGACAAGGTCACCGTGAAGTACACCCTCAAGGTGTGGACCGACAGTATCCTCAAGATGCTGGACAAGGTCAAGACCTTCAGTATCCTCAAGATGCTGGACAAGGTCACCGTGAAGTGCACCCTCAAGGTGTGGGCCGACAGTATCCTCAAGATGCTGGACAAGGTCAACAAGCTGGACACCCTCAAGGTGTCAAACAATGTGGACACCCTCAAGGTGTTGGACGTGATGGGCACCCTCAAGGTGTCGAGCAAGATGAACACCCTCAAGGTGTTGACCAAGTTGGGCACCATCGAGGTGTCGCAGCAGGGCTACTTGCTGGAGAAGTGCAATGTTCTGGCAAGGGGCATGGTCAAGGAAGAGTGGTGCGGCCCAATGGGATGGGAGGTGAGATACCATCTCATGGGGTTGCAAGACAAGGTGGGAAGACTGGAGGACTGGGAGGTGAAATACCAGTTCAAAGGTCTGACATCATGCAAGAGGCTGGACACCATCGAGGAGTCAGCCGTGGACCCTCAAGGTCTGAAGTTAATGTGCAAGGGGCGGGACACCATCGAGGAGTCAGCCGTCATGGACCCTCAAGGTCTGAAGGAAATGTGCAAGAGACTGGACGCCACCGAGGAGTCAGTCATGGTTATGGACCTGAACGACGTCAAGTTCAAGGTCATCGAACAGTACCAAGTGGTCTGCGAGATCAATCTCAAAGACGAGGTCATCGGCAAGATGATGGATCACCCTTGGAAAGAGTTCCAATGGGAGTGCAACAGTATGAGATGAGACGACAGATGCCACGTGAGGCAAGTCGGCAACCACAAGGTGGAGTACAAGGTTGTAGCACAAGAACCTTTGTGGATGATGTCAATCAACAAGGGAAGGATGAGCGTGATGAGCTCAAGCGGGCTTTGGAGCAATCAATGGTTGAAGAGCTTCACAGACAGAAGCTTGAGATGGAGAAACAAAAGGAAGAGATGAAGAAGTATGCTGAGGACTTGCAACGCCAGCGTGATGAGTTTGAAAAGAAGAATGAGGAGTTACAGAAGGAGCTCAAGAAGAAGAGTTCAAGCGTGGAACCACCAAGGACACCACCGCGCCGACCTCAGTACTACTCGCTGTCACCAAGAACAAACCTGGAGGAACTCAAGTTCCACCGGGACAACCACCACTGGAGGTAGCAGATCTTCCAGAACTTCCACCATGGCAGTTTGACCCATTTGCAGTTGATGAGCACGTGGGTGGTGGAACAGGTTTTGATGGTTTGGAGGATTTTTGGACTCCAGTGGATCAACAACCACAACAGCAGCATCATCTTCAACCTGGAGCAGATCGTTTTGCATGGTTGGACAGAGAGGTCAGGATGATGCATGGAGAAAGACCAAGGTTGACAGGTGAGTACTGGGAGCAACCGGTGCACAGGCATGGTGGTCCACCAGCGGATTTTGGCTATGTTCCGCAACCACCACCACAACCGCCTCAAGGACATGGAGTTGGACCTTCTGGTGTACCAATGTATGCAGCACCAATGCAATATGGTTCAGTGCCACTGCAATGGCAACAACCTCAACCACAAGCAAAAGGTCCTGATGGCGAAGCTTCTGAGGTGCTGAGAAATGTGCCGATTACACTGCCAATTTTGAAGGACGTGTCAGAGCCTCAAGCTGCCCTTCGTGCAGGAGATTGGTTAAGTGAGTTGATGCCGCTGATCTCAGATGTCTCAGAAGGCGCAAGAGTGTGGTGGACCGGACTAGTACAACGAGCTCAAGATGCCTATGCAACATGGCTGACAGCGGGTCCAATGGATCGTATGGCTGTGCAACCTGACCTTCAAGTGGAGAACAAGTATGTCAGGTTGGAGTCTCGCGTGCTGTCAATGTTGTTAGCTGCAGTGCCACAGACGGTCAAACAAGAAGCAATCTCTTTGCGAGAGATGACATGCGTGCAGCTGGTGTTTCGCATCTTGAAGCTGTATCAACCTGGTGGTCTCAACGAGAAAAGCACCATCCTCAACAACTTGACCCAAACTACAGCAGCCAAATCTGCAGCTGAAGCTGGTGAGATGCTACGCCAATGGCGACGTCAACTCCTGCGAGCTCGTGAACTTGGACTACAGGTTCCAGATCCCTTGCTGCAGGTGAGCGCACTTTCTGAAGTGATGCGGACAGTGATTGCGAAGGAGCATCAAGCGAGCTTTCGCATCAGCAACTTCCGCATGACCCATATGGTGGATGTGGCGCCTACACAGCTCACAGCGGAGAACTATCTGCAGATGTTGATTGCCGAAGCGGATCACTTGCATCATGGAACAATGACGAAGGCAAGTCCGACTTCTGGCAACCCCAAGATCAATGTGGTCAATGCTGCTGGTGACAAGGGTGGTGGCAAGAAGGGATCTCCTGGTAAGAAAGGCTATGGCAACAATGCAGAAGGCAGTGGCTATGGTGCAGGAGCTGGAGCATGCAGGCATTGGGGTAAACCTCAAGGATGCCTCAAGGGTGACAGATGCACCTATGCCCATGAGTGGAACAATCTCAACGACAAAGAGAAGAGATGTTGGAAGTGTTCCAGTTTGGAACACATTGCCAAAGACTGCACGGCTGGTGACAAGGTTATGACAAGTCCAGGTGACAAAAGCTCCAAAGGAAGCCCTAAAGGCAAGGGAAAGACAAAGGATGGCAAGAACGACAAGGGCAAAGGCAAGGACCGGGACAAGCCGGTCGGGGGAGTGGATCAGTCTTCAAAGGATTCACAGCCTCAAGTTGCCCAGATACAACAGCAACCTCAAGTTGCCCAGATACAACAGCAACCTCAAGTTGCCCAGATACAACAGCAACCTCAAGTTGCTCAGGTACAACAGCAGCCTCAAGTTGCTCAAGTACAACAACAAGTTCAGCCCTCAGTCATGGGTGAAGTTGCCAGTCTTTTGAAGACAATGCGAACAACGTCAACGACTCCAAGGGTGTTGGCGGTGGTGACTGACAGCAATCAGGGTGTGCTATTGGACTCAGGGGCCACGCATATCCTTAGAGGACCCTATGATGAGACTGAGTGGATGCAGGCGATCCCAACAGAGGTACAAACGGCAACTGGAAAAACACAGCTGAGGATGTCAAAGATGAGCAGATCGTTGTTGACAAAGGATGATCTGCAGCCAATTGTGCCTTTGGGAATGTTGACTCAGCATGGATGCAAGATGAGGTGGCATCGCGATGGGTGCGCTCTCACACATGGCAAGCTGGGTGAAGTGAAAGTCACAGTTCGTGACAATTGTCCCTATGTGACCAATGATGTGGGGATGAAGCTCATTCGAGAGCTGGAAACTGCTGAGAAGAACAAGCAGTTGATGTTGCGAAGTTTGGAAGTCACAGGTTGGAAGCAGGAAGACAAGGACATGGTCGACAAGCTCAAGAAGTTGTTTCCGGAAACACCTGTGGAGTTGTTGCAACCTATGGTGAGCAAAGCTGGTGATGAGGCTCGATTGCCATGGAATCGCCATCAACGGCGACGCTTCAAGAAGGCCAAGGGCATTGTGCTGAATTTGTTTTCAGGTCCAGATCAAGCGTGGTGGTCAAAGAGAATGCCACACGACATCGAAGTGGTGAATGTGGATCTACTTCGAGGACAAGATCTTTTGGATTCAGCAGTTTGGCACTTTTTATTGCAGTTTGTGAGGTCGGGTCGAGTGGTTGCAGTACTCGCTGGCCCACCGTGCAGAACAGTATCAGCTGCACGTTACCGGTCTGATGGAGGACCGCGGCCTGTGAGGGCGAGACATGGGTTACAGAGGTTTGGCTTGGATACCAACACGATGATGGAGCAACAGTTGGCAGACACTGACAGCCAGCTTTGGCTGAGAACATTGCTCTTAATGTATGAGGCCAAGCTCTACAACCCTGACGTCAAGGCTGTAGTGGAGACTCCAGAGGATCCAATGAC